ACACTTTAGACAGACTTATGCTGAGGGACGGGCTGGTGTCGTTACACAGGCCTTCAGGAGAAGGGGGCAGGAGGGCAAAGGTCAGAGACTAGCTGGTGTTGAGAAACACCGGCTTTAGTAAAGCTGGGCCATAGGCCAAGGAATTTAGGAAGCTTCTAGAAGCTAGAGAAGGCAAGGAGACACTTAAACAGCAACAGACTAACCCAGTCTGTCTGTCTGTCTGTCTGTCTGTTTGTCTGTCTGTCCGTCCCCATTCACTTTAAGGTCTTAACTATGGAACCCAGGGCACACCAGCACCAAGCTGCATCTCTAGCCTTTTGTTTTAGATTTCTGAGGCTGCTTTCGAGAATTAGCCCTGACACTGAGGTTTAAAGCAACTGTAAAGTAGCTGGGCGTGGTGGTGCACGCCTTTACTCCCAATGCTGGGGTGGCAAGCAGATCTTTGTGAGTTCCTGGATAGCCAGGGTCCCATCAAGAGACCTTATCTCCAAAAACAAAGAAACAAACAAAAATTTCTACAAATTGATTACCCAGCTCTGGAAGCCGGAAGTCCCTAGTGAGACTTGTGGGACTGAAAAATGGGTACTGATAAACCATGCTCATTCCAGAGTGTTGGACTGGGAGCCGCGCATCTTTCCCAGCTTGTAGAGGACACCCACTCGCAGCCTTGGGAGTCAGGAGAATCATCTCCCTAGGGGCAGGGAATGAAGTAACAGCTGCACCCTCCCCTAAGGGCTCAATGACAAACCAAAGCTCTGCTACTCCGACTCACACACAGCTCAGCGGGTGAGGGGTTGCGAGCAGGCACGCAGGTGAGCTCAAGCCAGCCACATGATCTGTTCCTGGCACCAGGCATGAACAGAGAAGCCCTCACAGCGGCATAGCTAGAACCCTCTCCCTTCTCCTCCATCTGCACGCTCTATCCCCTCCCCAGACTCAGGCTGCTTCCTCTTAGGGCAGAATTGCCTACAACTCTTTGGGAGGGGTAGCTGGCTGCTCAGGTGAGGGTCCCATGACTCTTCCCATCCCCCTCCTTGTTTGAGGAACCGTCAGTTGTTACAACAAGCCCAGCTGTGCTGGTCTTCTGTGAGTAGGCCCCTCTGAACTCCTGAAGATTGTAGCAGTTTGGCTTGGTAAAGGTTAGTCCTGCTCAACACTGGGCTCAGAGCCTCACCCCTCCAACCTTTGCTGCAATGGTTTGACAGTTTACGAGATTTAAGTGTATTTGTTACTCAGCATTTCGGAGGCACTAATACACCAAGGCGGAGAAGCCAAATGGATACTTACACAAAGAGAGTGAGTGCTGCCAAGTGCCTGGAACAGACAGGAAGGATAGATGGATGGGTACGGACTCTAGAAAAGAGGGGGTGATGGGTTAATCTCAATCCTTGATTTGATGAGATTTCAAGTCACCATGGAAACACACCTCTAGGCATATATGGGAGAGCTTATCTAGATTAGGTTAATTGAGATGTAGAGACCCACCCTAAGTGTGGCAGCACCAGTTGGTGGGCTGGGATCCCTTTTATGAAAAAAAGAAGGCAGTAAACTGAGTGCCACTCTCTCCGTCCCAGTGTCACTAGCTTCCTCCTGCCACCACAACAGACAATATTCAACTACAAGCCCAAACCACCCTTTCTTTTCCTGGGTTGTGTCTGTGCCATGGCGAAGTTTAAATAACTATCCCTCAGCAGCAGAAAGAGGTTGACAAAGATGGCGGAGGTGAGGGGGCGCTCCTGCAGGGGAGAAGTGGCGGCCTTAAAGCTCTCCAGGAGAATCAGCTGGCCCAGAAGATGAGGCTGTGGTGGAGCTGGGGAGGAAGAAGAGGGATCAAGTGCTGGAAACAAAAGCGTGCGCTCTGCACATTGGGCTGAGGGGTCGGCTCCCTCTCTCTGATTCCCAGCCGCACTGAGTTTCTTTGACAGAGAGTGTGACTTATGTATGGAAGAGGTCTTTCCAGAAGGGGGGACCTGGGGGCAGCGTGTGCTTTTTGAGGCTTAGAGGAACAAGGGCAGGCTTCTCTTTCTCCATAGAGCTCACACTGGATTTGAGGATCCACAGCAGATCCACTTACACGCTGCAGCGTTTAACACACACTTCCGCTGCTGCTGATTTGTCTTTGTGACCATCTCCCAACTGAGAGCTGTCTTAGTTGGAATAGCGGTTCTCAAACTTCTTAACGCTACAACCCTTTAGTATACAGTTCCTCATGGTGTGGTGACCCCAGCCATAACTTTATTTTCATTGCAACTTTATAGCTGTGACTTTGCTACTGTTATGAAACGTAATGCAAATATCTGGTATGCAATATCTGTGAAAGTGTTGTTCCCCTCCCCCCACCAAAGAGGTCGAGACCCATAGGTTGAGAACCACTGTGGACGATCTTCAAATCTTGCTCTCAAATCGGGCTAAATATCATGGTCCAAGCCAATTATAAATATGCTCCTTGGTGTGTGTGTGTGTGTGTGTGTGTGGTGTAAGCACACTTGTGCACATGGTTGTATGTGCTTTTGCATTCCCAAGCCTGAGAATTACTACTTTGAGGCAATGCCTCTCCTGAGCCCGGAACTCGTGTTTTTCAGTTAGGTTGGTGCAGCAAGCCCCCATCCTCCAGTCTCTGTCTCACAGTATTGGCTTTACGTGGAAACACATCTGGCTTGGCTCATGGGTGCTGGGATGTGAGTTCGGATCCTCAAGATTGCACGGCAAGTACTCTTAACTACGAAGCCAGCTTCACAGCCCTGTTCTTGGGCTTTGCCCTTTCGGTGACTTTGCAAAGGGAAAAGTGAAGAAGAAAAAAAAGGTTCTGTGCAGTCAGCTTGCTCCTTCCTAGTGGGTTCCAGGGATCGAAGTCAGGTCAACCGGGCTCGGCGGCAAGCAGGTTCCCTATGGAGTCATCTCACTGCCCAGGGAAGCCCATACACTAGGCTGATCTCCAAATACTTAACAATATTCTTATTTTCCCCCCACCCACACACACCATATGCTGTCGCCACCTTTTTCTTCTTTGATTTGTGCTTGCGAAGGTTCTGTTTGGGTGTAAACTTAAAATGTTCACCTGGTTGCTAGGCAACAGGAGCTATAGAGTTGGGGAGGTGTACACTGTTAAGTTGTCCCTGGCTAACTCTCAGGTTGGACCTGTCAAAGCTCCAGCCTGAGTAGGTGTCAGGAGGGAAGCTGGTTAAACATGCAGATGTGAAGGCCAGCTCCGAGGCAATGCTACTGGGCATGGTGAGAGTGTTCAGGAACCGACTCTTTATAGGGCCTGAGAGGCCAGAGGAGATCAGGGTTAGGTATCATGTCATTTTCAGGAGAAGACTGCTCATACCCAGAAGAGAAATAAGCAGAGGAAGTCGGGAGAGCCAGAATTCAAGCCTATTTAGTTTTCTATTAAATTCATCCCACCCGGCCCTAGCATACCTCATCCTATCCCATCCCACCCACCCTACCCCTACCCACCCCATCCCATGTTGTACATTTGAACTCATTTAATACTACCACAGTCTAACAAATTACAACCACCAGCCCATTTTATGGTGAAGAAATGAAGGCACAGAGAAGCTGAGCAACTTATTCGAAGTTATACAGTCAGGAAGCGGAGGAGCTGGGATTCGAACCAAGATTGAGTATCTCAGCAATTACCCATCATGGTGGATCAGAATGTGGGTTCTTAGGATGGACCGGCTGCTCCTGGCTCCACCCTTGTCATTTCCGAGCTGTGGACATTGTAAAGCTGCCTGGCCTTCCCGCGCCGCCCCCCCCCCATGCCTCAGTTGGGGGGCAAGGAATCATATGTTGCACAGTGACATGCCTGTGCATCCTGACTTCCTGACTGTAGGTGACACGCCAAAGCAGCCTGTGGGGACTGGCTTTGCATCATCATTAGCCATAGTGTTAATTGATTAATGAATTTGTAATCTAAAAAGGGCAGGGCATGAGTGCCCTTGCCTGGTTCCTGCTCCATCTCTGAGTCTCTGACCTTCCTCTTACACCACACCTTGGACTAAGGCTCAGGGTGGGGATGAGTGAGGACTAGAGTGACAGGGAGGGGGATACGAGGAGGGTATGCATGCACACGCTGTGTGACAAGAACAACCTTTCAGGAGTCAGTCCTCCCCTTCCTCCACATGGGGCCCAGGGATTGATTGGCAGGACAGAGGATTGGTGTGACTGCCCTCCCTCATGGCTGTGTCCAGAGGTCATGTGAAGGCATATCCCCCTGCCCTGTCTCACTCCCGTATCCCTTGTCAGTAACCAACTCAATCCCGGCATCTAAGACAAGCACCTCCTCATCAGCCCTGGCAGGGGATTTCCACTTTAAAAAATTAATTTATGCATATGAATGTTTTGCCTGCAGGCATGTGTGTGTACCACATGCATACCTGTCGCCTGTGCAGAAGAGGGCATTAAATCCCCTGGATCTGGAGTTACAGGTGGCTCTGAGTCACCATGTGGGTGCTGGGAACCGAACCTGAGTCCTCTGCAAGACCGACTAGTGTATTAACCACTGAGCCATCTCTCCAGCCTCCTTGTGGGGCTTTGGAGATCTCTTTTTAGGTGGAGGTGGGCCTGAGACCAGATAGGTTTGAGCTCTGGGGTTTTCAGGGCTGATACATGGGAGAACTGAGCGATGGGGCTGCCTCTCTGGGGTCCCTCTGAAGGATGAGGCTGTGGTGGGGAAGAGGGGTGCTGTGGAGGGGGGTAGCTGTATGGGAATGGAGACCTAGTTACTTCCCCAACCCTCCATCCAGCAGCTAGGAGTGTACTTAGTGGTCAACTGGCTCAAGAATACAATGGCCCAAGAGGGACTGATGGATAAAACCTTGTCTTCTGGCCCCAAATCAGGACACCAAAGAGACTTCTTTTTCCCAACAGTTTTACCCTGTGAGCATCCTCTAGTCCCAATACATGCTACCTGGATACCCAACCCACGACTGTGGTAGAGAGATGTGTGATATGCCAACCCAGTGCGACAAAAGACACCAGCAGCCGAGTCAGTGCACTTTTTTTTTTAATAGTTTAACCATAATGCAAACAAGCATAAGTAGACTTTGTGTTGAATCCCATCAAATGAGAAGGTGAGGGTTATATAGAAGAGAAGCATGCGAGAACACAGCCTGGACAGCCTCGCAGAGGGCGTGGGGGCAGGTGGCAGTGCTGGAGCACACAGGACACTTGGCAGAGATTAGCAGCATGGAGAAGTCAGAGGTGGGTGGGGGCGTCCGAGTTTCTGACAGCTTGTGTGTGGTGAGATGGAACCCGGGCTCTGCCCATCCTCCTGCCCCCCACTCCCTGTAACCCCTGAAGTGAACCCTCTGGGTGTAACTTGATCCCATGTGGGACGTGGGACTTCTGGCAATCCATTGCCGAGCCTGGAGTGGGTCGTACAGTCACAAGGACAACACAGCGACAAAAGTGGGGAGACAGAGCTTGGGTCACGGAGGTGGGATAGGGACAGGGGATAGCCTCAGACCCTACGTGAGAGGTGGCTCCTCAGTGCCTCTGTCTTAAGAACGCTGAGCTACCCTCTGACTTGGGAGTTTTGAGACTTTGCTATGTCACTGTTGGTTTGAAGGAGGTTAGAGAAGCAACCATCAAACTGGGGCAGGTTTCTGGCTTTCTCCAGCTCTATAACCAGAAGGCCTACAGCCGCAGGTAGACAGCTCCATGGCCCAAAAGCAGTGGTTGCTTGGTCCAATGGCTGAAGGTCCTGCCCTCTCAGGGGTACTCAGTACTTTCTAGTGACCTTTGTGGCTGTCCCAGATGGCGGGAGGCCACCAGAGGCATTTAGTAGGAAAGTCCACAAATGGTATTCACCATCCTACAGTACCAAGACAGCCGTGCTCCAAACAAGAAGGCCAAGGTTAGTGGGTTCCTGGCTAGAATCTCCTAGAGGTCACAACTAAACCCGGTCACTTCCATGTCCTGACTCGGCTAGAAGATTATCAGTTCATGAAGTCACCCTTGCTTTTGCCTTCCAGGGACACTTCATTAGGAACTGACTGCCTTGGGTCAGGGATGCCCAGTTATCCGGAGCCACTCAGATATGTTGGAACGAAACAAACTTATAAATACAGCTGAGGTACGCTTACCCCAATATCTCCCTTGATTCTGATAGGTTGGTTGATTTTCCTTTGATGAAATACTTGTGGCAAGAAATGTTTTCGATTTTAGAAAAAAAACCATAATATTTGCATATTCCTAATGGGATATTTGGTAGACGGGACCCACCTCTAATCATGAAATCCATTTATGGTTCATATATACTATGAGTATATATCTATATATATCTCTTACATACATAGCCCGGACAATTTACTGACGATGCTGGAAAGGACCCAAGGACTCCGCAGGCTAGGCAAACTCTATCCCTGAGTTTATGCCCAGTCTGCCCATTCTTTCAGATCATTTCATGAATGAACTAAAGCATTCACTTGTGCTATCTTGTTGGTACTTCCAACAAGATATTTTAGATTATGGAGCATTTTTGCTTTGGGGATGCCCCCAGAAGTCTGGGAGTCCCTGGGTCCTCTTGTTTAAGACACTTCATGGCCAGTGAGTCCTCTTGGGTGCCTTTCCCTCTAGGTGGTCTGGCAGTGAGTGAGAAAAGAGAAAAAGTCGGGCCAGCCTGAACCTCTCAAGGTTGGGTCCTGAGGAGGCAGAGCCGGAGATGGAAGGAAAATAAAAGCAAACCTAGGCTGAACTCTACCTAGAAGGACTTTTCTAGGGCGCAGAGAAAGGCTCCGTGTGTGTGCAGTGTGTGCGGTGTGTGTGTGTGTGTGTGTGGCGTGTAAGTGTGTGTGTGTGGGGGGGCGCTGCAGGGATGGGGGCTCAGACATCAGGGTTAGAACCATTGCATTTTGCCCTGGCCTTAGGAGAAACCTGAACTCTTGCTTTCTAAAGCAGGCCTTTGCCAGGGAAATCCACACCCTCGGTCCTGTGTTTTCTGGCTGATTCAGCTTTCTTCCTTTGTCCTGATGACTTTCTTGTCCATGGCGGGGGTGGGGGTGGAGGGTGGGGTGGGGGAAGTGCACGGGGTACGGGGAGGGGGGTGCAGGGGGGAAGGATCTCTCTCTGTCTTCACTCTTCATGACAGACTGTAGCAAGTATTGTTGACTTAGCATAAAATCTGCCTGCCCCTTCCCCCCCTTTAAAACTAGTGACAGTGATAATCTTGATGTCGGAACAATGTTGTCCCCAGCCATAGGGGAAATGGAAGCTCATTAGAGCTGGAGTTGGCACTGCCATAGACCATTATCTCATCAAAGCCACCCTGCTCAGTGGAATCTGGTTCTCAGGAACGCCAAGGAGCCAGGCCTTCTGCATAAACAAGGCAGAATTAACACGTGGGTCAGGTGTGCGTGTGAAACTTCACAGGGGTCACGTCAGCTGTTGTGTCCCAAAGTCACCTGCTTGCTTCCCCAAGGACATGCAGAGAAGCTCTCTTCCCCTCCCACAGGCTGAATTCTGGCGTTCCAGGGATGGCAGGGAGCCTACGTCTCCAGCCCTCCTGTTTTGAGGGGTCATCTTCTTCTTCCTGGTCAAACCTGCTTTTGTGAAGTGGGGTTGAAGCTACTGTCAGCATAGAAGACGACAGACTGGCTACAAACTGAGTCTTGAACTCTACTCTCTTATTCTAAGCTGTAGATTCCTTTGTTGCTAGCTGTGGACTGAACTAAAAACCACCAGCAGAGGGCAGTATTGGCCCACTCTAGATGGTCACTTTAGTCAGCCATTGGACAAGCAATTTAGACGGCTTTCTGGAAAAAGATTAGGGCATTCAGCCGGTCTCTGGCCTTCTAGCCAGGGGCTAAGGAGGATGCCTAAGTTAAGAGTTCAAAGGTCTTTTTTAAAAACGTTCTCTCTTGGGGGCTGGGGACATAGCTCAGTCTGGCACACGTGAGGCCCTGGGTCTCATCTTTAGCAGTGGAAAACCAAAGTCCCTCCTGAACCCGGTTATGTAATCCTGTTTTTGGACTCTCTGGCAAGTGACACGAAGCTTCCATCTGTTCACCTGCTACTGGGAGCACCCGGATATACAGGGGTGGGGGTGGGGAGGAGCCTGTCACATGGTAAGCACTCCTTATTCAGAGGTGGAAAAATCGCCGATGCAGGCGTGCATGTAGCTGGCGTGCAGAAAGAAGGCTCTCAGATGGAGGTTGGGCATAGCCGTTCAGATCTGGGGAATAAACTACATCTTAGGAAGTGTCCGCAGAGGCTTGAAGGATTGAGAAGGAAGTCCCTGGGAAGAAAGTGGTGGGAACTGTGTTGGAGGGACCGTCAGAGGACGCTGCCTTGCCTCCAGGCTACTGGGGGAAACATTGCTACTAACTGGGGCCAGGGGGTGATAACTGGGACAAATCCACATGCTAGTGATGGGATGTGGTGGGGGTGTCCGGAGCAGCATGAGACCTGTCTCTGAGTTTTGAGTTGAAGACTGAAGACTGGGGATGTTGATCAATTGGTAGAGTCCTTGCCTGGTATGCAGAAAATCGTGGGTTTGACACCCCTCTTCCCCCTCCCCAGCACAGTGTAAACTGGACATAGTTCATGCCTGTAATCTTAGCTAGGGAAGTAGAGGCAAGAGGATTAGCAATTCAAGGTCATGAGTTCAAAGCCAGCCTGGGCAACAGTAGACCCTGTCTGGGAAAATGGAAGGAAGGAAGGAAGGAAGGAAGGGAGGGAGGGAGGGAGAAGGAAGGAAGGAAGGAAGGATGGAAGGAAGGAAGGAAGGATTGATGTTCTTAGGTTTGGGTCCACAACCGTAAAGTCCTTGGCACTTTCTATATGGCAGCCCCAATACTTAGCATCAAGAGAGCCAGGCCCTGGCTCAGGATGTAGAGGAAATTTTTTGTTTTGTTTTTTCTGCATCACAGAACCAAACAAAAGCACAGAACATGGGACTCAGAACCGACCCCTTGGGCCTGCTGACTCAGAACACAGTTGCCTCCAAGGGCCAACTTGCCCCGGCTATGGCTGCTCGTTTTAGGGGTGGGGTGTGGGAGAGGAAATTATTCGCAAGTGGGAGGCAAGCCGATTTGGAGGAATAAAAACCAGCTATCTTCTTCTTCCTTGGTGTTTGCTTCCAGGCTCCAAAGCACTCCGGGAGGCACTTCCATTCCTTCAATAAGGGCAGACTTAGAGTTAGGCACACCTTTCTTTGGTGGCGAAGTCTCTACTCCCAGCATGCTTCCTTGCTCAGCATGGCTGCTGGGCTCATAGTTGGGGCTGCCTAGGTATAAGGAGGGAGCTCAAGGGCTGGTGGCCCCAGCTGGGGTGGGTGGGGGTGGGGAGGTGCTTGCCCAATTCACCATCTGGGTAAATCTCCCAGACAGACCTCTGCTGACGGGGGTCAGACTCTGAACACCTTGAATTCAAAAACTGACTCCTTCACAGGGACATCTTCCTCTCCATCACCTGCCTATCTCCCGCTGTGATTGGTTCACTAGATTAGTAAAGGGACTTGATGTGTTTCAGAGAGGCTGACACAGATCTGTCATGATGGACATGGAGAGGGATTAACAATAGTTAGGAACACGTTTCATGACACTGAATATCCTTCATGAAGGCAGTGGACACTGGACATCCTTCACGGAGGCAGAGGACTTGGGTAAGAGGGCAGAGAGTGACGTAGGCCTGTCACACACATGCACGCACGCACGTACGCACGGGAGGTGCTGAAGTGGTCAAGGGACTGGCTCAGGGTGACTCTGAAGCCCAGTGCCTGTTGCCTTCAGACCCCAACAGGAGTGACAGCCATGACCCGGTGGTTTCATGCGCCACAACCTGCCCTTGGCAACGAGCGGGTAGGGAGGGTGTAGTTTTGTAAGAGCCACTGCAGGGTACAGGGACAATGCATCGCAGGAGAAGAGGCAAGGAGAAAACCCAGGGTTGGGAGTGTGGGGTAGGAGGAAGGACCAGGACACAGCAACAGGACAAAAGGCAGGGTGGGTCACATGGGGTCCCGTGGGGAAGGTTCAGCCATGTGTGTCCGCTGTTAGTCAACTGTGACCGCCCTAGTTTGGGCACTTGGGGTGGCCACCCCACCATCCCATGGGGCAGGAGGATCCAGTTAGGAGCTGAAAACCCTGTTGAATGAGAGAGGGAGGGGGTTAGTGGCATAGAAGCCAGGCTCCTTAGCTTCCTTCAGGTGACCTGGGGGTGACAGAGGCAGCACAGGAGGGCGAGTTCAGGCTAGCCTGGGCTACACAGACTCTCTCAGAAAAGCAAACCCCAAACAAACAATAAACAGACCAGAAGGAGTGGGAGAGATGTCCTAGAGGCTTAAAATTCTCACTGCTCTGACAGAGAACCCAGTTCGGTTTCCAGCACCCATGTGTGGCAGGCAGTTCACAATTGCCTCTAGCTCCAGGTCCAGCCAACACTCCCTTCTGGCCTCTGCAGGCACCTGATTCACAGGTGTGAATGTGTACACATGCAATAGAAGTGTAAGCTGCGTGGACAGGGAATGTTTGGAGATAGCCAAGCTGTCTGGAGGAGAAACAGTGATAAGTCTCCGGAAACAGCCATTCTGACTGGGAAAGAGACAACTGGGAGAAAGTTCTGCCTGTTTGAAGGGGAAGATCTGAGGGAAGGGAATGAGGAAGGCATCAGCACCCTGGTCCTCTTGCTCCACGCTGGGAGGTAAGGTTCAAATAGTGAGATTCCATCCCACCCTCATGACGCTTCAGGCTGTTTCCAGCAACTTCTAGAGGCTATTTTAATTTGCAACCATGACAATGTCTCCAGTAACTTCTGGGACAGGGGCAGGGAGCATCAAGAGTTATAGTAGTTGGCGGGGAGACCATGGTTCCACTAGGGGGCACCATAGCGAGGTGGAATTCTGACACTTTGGATCCTTGGTACCCCTAGACCTTGCAAACCACTGTGACCTAACTTTTGAATGCCAGACTCAGCAGGATTGGGGTTACCTGGGGATGTGCACTCCTTTGTTTTATTGAGACGAGGTCCCATGTGTACCTCAAGCTGACCTCCAATGGGCAACCCTTTGCCCTGGTAACAGCAGGATCACAGCCATGCATTTTGGCCTGCCGACCCCCACCGTGAGAAACCCGGTCAAGCCCCAGCTGCAGCCCACTGCGGCCCCTCTCCCCGGGGCTGGAGAGGACTTACTCATCTGTGTCTTTTTTGCTCTCTTCAATGAAGGCAATGGACTCAGATCGAAGGCGGTTGGTCACTTCATATGTTCGCAGGGTGACTCCAAAGATGTCCTCATGGTACCGGTTGTCATCCTATGGACAGAAACAGCCAGGGGATGGATCAAAGGGCAGGTAAGGGATTGGAGAGGAACAGCCAGAGTGATACATGGAGGAACGTATACCTAGACAAGACAGAGGCTGAGCTGAAGGTCCTGGGGTATCTTTGGTGACTAAGGCTGTGTGTGAGCAGGGCTCTGCCATTTTGTGCCTCTTGAGGCTGGGTGGCAAAGAATCTATGGGGTGAGCCTTTGCAAAAAGGGGGGCCGCCTCGAGGATTGCGAGCATAGAAGAAGCAACGAGGCCTGAAGGAAGCCTCCAATTCTCTCTCTCCTCCTTCCAACTCTCCCCTGTAAGTTCAGATTCCAGCGAGGCTGAACTAAGTATGAAATGCCCCAGATGAATGGCACCAGCCGATGGGAGAGGGGAAAAAAAGTTGTTGTGGGGGAGCTAAATGGTACAGGCTTCCCCAGCACGTACAGACCCTGTGTTTCATCTCCAGCATAGGAGAAAGAAAGTGGGGTTAGGGGAGGGGGCAGATTCAGAAGGATGGGAGCTCCCTTGGCAGAAGTGAGGGGCCGACTGGGAAGTTAAGAAGAATATTCTTTTTTAAAAACTTATTTATTTTTATTTTATGCATCTTGGAGTGCAGGTGTCAGGTCCCCTGGAACTGAAGTTACAGACAGTTTGAGCTGCCAGATGGGTGCTGGGAATTGAACCCAGGTCCTCTGGAAGAGCAGACAGTGCTCTTAACCATTGAGCCATCTCTCCTGCCCTAAGAAGAATACTCTCTAAGAGTGGCATCTTTGTGGTTAGGAGGAGATACTGATCTCAATGCTTATGAGAGCAGTGGCCAGGAGTTTGGCTTGGCTAGCAGGGCCCACAATAAACCCAGGTCTAGCACCCCGATTCTGCACCATGGCCCATGATGTACTCAATTCCAGCACCCTGGGTCTGCAGCAGGGCCCACATCTAGAGAGAGTGGGGGAGGTTTCTTTGCCCTAGTCTGCAAAGTTCCTGGGAAGCTATGAAGTGTTCCCAGGGGACTATGTCAAACACCAAGAGAGCAGCAGACTCCACAGCATCCCTTATGCCTGGCATGCCTTTTTCCTTCCCCGTGTATCCATGTGGATACATGTGTGTGTACGCACACGGGTGGAGGCCAGAGGGGGCACTGGGTATCTTTCTCGATCACTCTCCACTGATGGACTGGGCCAGGGGCTCTCACCGGAACCTAGAGCTCATTGGTCCAGCTGGTCTCGTAGCCAGCTTTCTCTGGAAGTCCCCAGCTCTGCTGTCTGTGTGTGCTGGGGCCAAGGCTCGCCACCATGCCCAACTGGCAGCGGTGTAAGTGTGGGGATTTGAACCCAGGTCTTCCAGTTTGCACAGCACACACTTTCCCTGCTGAGCCATTTCTAACGGCTCCTGGCCAATTTCTAGCAGAAATCTCTTTCCCCTCACTGGGGTTTAGAATAAAGTTTAGAGAAAAGCTTCTAAAAACATGTTTGGTTACTGCTTGGGGCCTGGGAGGGAGTTAAGCAGGTAAAGGCACTTGCCACAAAGTCAGCTGACGTGGCTTGAATCCCCGAGATTCACGCGGTAGGAGGAAAGAACACTCGGAAAGGTGTCCTCTTTCTCACGTGGACCGTGACATGCTCCACTCCTCCTCTCCCCACGAGAAAATGTGATTGCTTCTCATTTAAGAAGGCAGTAGTGGGATGGGACCACCTCTGGGATTCAATCTCTGCTTGGTGGGGGGCGGTGGTCACAAGGTGGAACTCTGCTGGGGAAGCTGTCCTAGGCTGTAACCTAGCCTTCCAGTGCCCTTCCTCTAGGGTGGGCGTACTCCATGCCAGGCACATGGTTTCGTGATCAAGCACGAGGTCCGGCCTCCAGCTTCCACCCGCCCCCTTTGGATGAGCCTTTTGTTTAGTGCCAACCATACGCAAGTGCATGGGGCTGAGGGCAGCCTGACTTGGGGGTTGGGAAGCGCTGAGTCGGGATGGCATCTGTGTAACTACCCACAGGCTCTCCCACTGGTCATTTTCACATAGAGAGCCTAAGACCAGATAGACTGTGTGTATATGTGTGCCTGCGTGCCTGGCTGTGCATCCCCTCTGGGCTGTGGCTGGGCACTGATTGGGCGAGGCGGAAACTCCCAGCCCCTGGGTGCCAGCTGTCACTCACCCGCAGTCTGCTGAGGAACACACCAGCATCCTCCTCTGAGAGCTTCCCCTGCTGCGTCATTATGCGCTGGATGGCTTTGAGGACATCGGCGGCCATGGTGACATCCCCACAGACATAGATGTGGCCTCCTTGCTCCTTCAGGGCGCGGTACACAGGCTCCGCCAGCTGCTCCTGCAGCACGTCCTGCACGTATTTCTGCAGAAGAGGACGACCAGAGAAAAGGGGCTGCTGTAAGAGGCTCTTGTTCCCCAGCCCCAGAGGAAGCAGAGTGTGATGTGGGTGCTTATGGGTAGGGGATATTTTGTGAGGTAACCTCAGGGAAATGGGATGAGGGACCAGGAAGAGTGCAACGGGACCAAACCTCAGTGTGTAGTGAGCTGATCCCAACCTGGGGGCAGCTTGAGCTGTCTGCTGAGGACACTCCCGGGGAGGGCTCCCTCGGTCACCTCCGAGAGGACCGCCCCAGCATGCATGGTTCATTTTGACTGTCAGCTTGATAAAAGCTTTAGGTGTCTGTGAGGGTGTCTCTAGACTGGGTTAATGTGGGTGGGCATGCCCACTCTGAACATGGGTGGCACTGTTCCATAGGCCAGGTTCTGGACTGACTTAAGGAGAAGGCAAGCGAGTACCAGCATTTGCCATTTCTCTCTGCTCTCAGTTACACAGGAGGCCATGTGGTTCAGGCTCCTGCTGCAATGGCTCCTCACCATGGAGGACTGCACACTGTGCTCCCTGTGAGCTCACACAAAACCTCCCTTACTGAAGTGGCTGTTGTCAAGTATTTTGTCAGAGCCGTGAGACAAGTAACTGAAACACAAAAGCCTTAGCTATCTTTTCCTTTCCCCAGGGAAAGATGGTGGCTGCCATTGGGTCAGAGACACTCAGGCAGGAAGTCAGGGATGGAGCAAGGTAACAGGGCTGCTGGCCTCCCACCCCACCACCACAGTAAGCTGGCTGTTACAGCAATGGTGGGCAGGAGGGCAGAAGTTTTATTTTTAGCTCAAGTCCATCATTGTGGGGACATCACAGCGGTGGGAACATGAAGTGGCCAGTCACATCCACAGTGGAGGGCAGGGAGGAATAGACGCATGATGCTCAGTTTGCTCCTGCCTTTTCCTTCCTTCCTTCCTTCCTTCCTTCCTTCCTTCCTCCCTCCCTCCCTCCCTCCCTCCCTCCTTCCTTCCTTCCTTCCTTCCTTCCTTCCTTCCTTCCTTCTTTGCTTTCTCTCTCTCCCTCCCTCCTTCCCTCCCTCTTTCTTTCTTCCTCTTTTTCTCCTTTCCTTTCTTTTTTCTTTCGGCTTTTTGAGACAGGGTTTCTCTGCAGCTTTGGAGCCTGTCCTGGAACTCATTCTATAGACCAGACTGGACTCAAACTCAGAGATTCGCCTGCCTCTGCTTCCCGAGTGCTGGGATTAAAGGCGTGCACCACCACTGCCTGGCACTCCTGCCTTTTCATTCGGTCCAAAGGTCCCACCCATGAACGGTGCTGTTTACATTCAGAGCAAGTCTACCTACTTTGATGAGCACAATTAAGAAATCTCCCTCCAACACATCCACAGGCCAACCTAATCCAGATAATCCTCTTTGAGCCCTTTTCCTGGGCGATTCTAGAGAGTTTCAAGTGGGAAATGAAATCATGTGTGTACACTGGGTGTGGCCAGGGGTGACTGGCTTACCTATGACCTGTCACATGTGTGTGTTGCTGTGCACAGGCACAGTCATGCACGCACACTGGGTGTGGCTGGCTTACCTTTGGCCTGTTGTGTGTGTGTTGACACTCATAAGTACACTCATGCATGCACACTGGGCGTGGCCGGCTTACCTTTGGCCTGTCAGGTTCCCGGGAATAGGCAGTATACAGCTCTCGGAAGACACCCTTGTTCTTGGCCTGCAGGGTCTCCTCTCTGTAGATATGATCTATCTTGGATTGTCGACACCCAAAGACCAGGACCATGGGGCAGGGATTCATTCCTGGGGACCCAGAAGACCCCGTATCACACATGGCTTTGATGCCCAAGTAGGCAGTGGTTAAACTACAGGAACTGGGATGCCAGGAACTCAGGGTGTCACATACATGGGGCAAGTGGTTAAACACACAGGCACACCTCCATGTTTTCACCCACGCACACAGACAAGCACAGCCTGTGGGAACAGGGGACAATCCTTTCCTGGTCTCATTCCTTCGCAGCCTGCTACTGGAAAATGCTCAGTGTCCAGACTGGAGGCTGATGGCCCAGGTCTGAGTCCCGGCTCTGTATGATCCTGAGCCAAGTCACTTCTTTCTCAGAGCCTCAGTTTCCCCATGTGAAAATGAAACCAGAAGCGACCGCCCAGGATGCAAGGGAAAGGGTGATTACAGGATCCGCTGGGTATGAAAATCTGCAGGTGCCCCAGTCCTTCAGATAAAATAGCACAGCATTGTCTAGAACCCCTACACATCTTCCTTTGTGCCTCCACTTACCTCTCTACTTACAACAATAGATGCAGTGTAAACTCTCTATTGTTATACTGCACTGTTTAAGGGGGAAATCTGTAGATGTTCAATACAGACTCCATGTTTTTTCAATTATTTGATGTGCAGTTGGGGAATCAGAATCATAACTGGGTATATGGGGCGATGGTAATACCACTAACCACCTCCTGGGGTCGCTGTTCTGCTGGAAACAGTTGTGTGGGGCATTTATGTTTCCTTCCTTCCTTCCTTCCTTCCTTCCTTCCTTCCTTCCATTTTTCTCTCTCTATCTCTTTCTTTTTCCTCCCTCCTTCCCACCCTCCCTCCCTTCCTTCCTTTTCTTCTCTCCCTACCTCTTTCTTTCTTTCTTTCTTTCTCTTCATTTATCTATTTACTTAAATTAATCCTCCCTGGCCAGGAACTATGTACACCAGGCTGACCTGAAACTCACAGAGATCCCTCTGCCTCGGAGCCCTGGGATTAAGGGCAGTGCCAGCACAGCCTGTCCAGGTTTTACATTTGTGCTGTCCTCATGTCTTATACAGCCGGACTCCTTCCTTGATGCCTCTGCAACTGGGATCTTTTCTCTCCTTTTTCCAAACCTGAACTTATCTCACTCGGCAAGGCCTGCTCTTGTGGTAGTTCATGAGGTAGTCACAGGCTCAAATCCATTCGACAAGATTGCGTGCCTTTTCTTGGTGGCATATTAGGCTTTTAGGATCAACTCTTAAGCCAAGGAAATGCCCGCTGGAGATGAGATTTCAGGCTCCTGGGACAGGCTGTGGAGCAGGTCCGTTTGGGTGGGCTGTTCAAACTGCTCCTGTGGCCACATCGGTATGGCAACCCTTCCAACCCCTCCTTTCCCCTCCTGACAGTGAGGTGAAGCAGGGGCCCTCCCGTCGCTCTCAAGTCAGAAGTCAGTGGCCCCTGGTCCATATATACCTTTGTGTTGAATGTCAAATTGTCGCTGTTGCCAGAAGCTTCTGAAGGGTGCGATGCCGGTGCCTGGGCCAACCAGGATGCAAGGGACCTGGGGATTTCGAGGCAGGTGGAAGCTAGGGGCACTGGGTAGAAAAGACAGAAGCTTCACTGTGTGCTGCTCCATGTTGGAGCCTATGGTATCCCAGGCAGCCATCTCAGAGAGTTGTCTGTTCCTTAGTGGGACCATGGGCTCCTTTAGCGTGAGAACTAGCAGAGTAATTTAAAAGTGAGTTTGCTGGAGCTTGCCTCTTCCTCCATTCCTATCACTTAGCATCAGGATAAGCCCCAAGGACAAGAAGGCTAAGCTAACTTGGACTTCCTCTGTGTTCAGGCTTTGAGAGTGGGCACCCTTTGTTGGGGAGCTATTGTATGCATTATGGGAGTTCAAGCACCACCCTGGGCTCCTAGCAAGTTGATGTCAGGAATAACTCTGGAGTGATGACTGTGAAAAACATCCTTGGACATCAACAAATGTCCCCAGGGTGGTAGACAGAGGGAGAAAATCACCCTGGATTGAATTTTAAAATTTCAACTGTGTGTGAGTTTATGTGCATGTGTATGTGTGTGTATGTATGTATGTATGTGTGTATGCATGTATGAATGTATGTGTGTCAATATATGTGCACATGTGTGCACGTGTATGTGTGTATGCATGTATGTGTGCATGTGTATGTGTGTATGCATGTATTGTGCATGTGTATGTGTGTATGCATGTATGTGTGCATGTTTGTCTGTACACGTGCATGTACGAATGTTTGTGTGTGGGTATATGTGCGTGTGTGCGTGTGTATGTGTGTCTGCACATGTGCATGTATGAATGTTTGTGTGTTGGTATATGTGCGTGTGTGTGTATGTGTGTCTGCACATGTGCATGTATGAATGTTTGTGTGTGGGTATATGTGCGTGTGTGTGCGTGTGTATATGTGTATGTTTGTCTGAACATGTGCATGTATGAATGCTTGTGTGTGGGTATGTGTGCATGTGTATGTGTGTGTGTATGTGTGTCTGCACATGTGCATGCATGAATGTTTGTGTGTGGGTATATGTGCATGTGTATGTGTGTGTGTATGTGTGTCTGCACATGTGCATGTATGAATGTTTGTGTGTGGGTATGTGTGCATGTGTATGTGTGTGTGTATGTGTGTCTGCACATGTGCATGTATGAATGTTTGTGTGTGGGTATGTGTGCATGTGTATGTGTGTGTATGTGTGTCTGCACATGTGCATGCATGAATGTTTGTGTGTGGGTATATGTGCGTGTGTATGTGTGTCTACACATGTGCATGCATGAATGTTTGTGTGTGGGTATATGTGCGTGTGTATGTGTGTGTATATGTGTGTCTGCACATGTGCATGTATGAATGTTTGTGTGTGGGTATATGTGCGTGTGTATGTGTGTATGTTTGTCTGCACATGTGCATGTGGATGTCGGATGTCAACATCGAATGTCTTTCTATCATTTTCCACTTTATTTTTTGAGCCAGGTTTTTCCATGGAACCTGGAGTTCCCCAATTCAGAGGCTGCCACTAAGCTCTGTGAACCTGCCTGTCACCTGCCTGTCTCTGCCTCCTCAGGCATGAGTCACCCTGCCTGGCTTTTAAGATGGTGCTGGGATTTGGGTTCAGATGCTTACACCTGTAAAACAGCACTGAGCCATTGCCCCAGGCCCTGATTTCAGCTTTCTCTTCCACTCCTGAGAAGCAGTCCTCAGTCATCCACGAGGTCTTTAATCAGGGGGTCGCAGACACCAGTGCTGGAATGAGCTACCTGGGGATGCTAACATGGACGTGCCCAGGCTATGTGGTCAGGCTGCGCTTTAAGACTCTTGCTTTAGGAGCGACTCTCCGAGACTCTGATGCGGACGGTATGCGGTGCATACTGCCAACATTCTACCCTCCACAGGAGAAAAGAGTGGTGGCCAAACCAGTGTTGGATCAGTTTCCATTGATGAAAGAGCTGTCTATGAGGTAAGGGTCCCAGCTCAGGACCATACTTAAAATGGGGAAATCTTCTCTGGATGGGGGTGTTTAGTACATCCCAATCTCTGAGAAACCGGAGTGAGAACCAAAAAGAAAAACAAACGTGGAGCCATCGAGACGGTTCAGCGGGTCAAACACATCCTGTGCAAGCCTGCCGTAGCTTTCCTTGTTTACGAGACTCAGAAAGGACATCCACTAAAGTAGTGTAAAGCATATAAGGTTGAGCGATCTCAAAAGGTAGTTTTGGATGGTCACGCAAGCTGTGATGGAAAGTAAATTAGGTACAACACTTTGGACTCACCACGATAGGATATAGGGTATTTCCTCTGAATCTGTCAGATGCAAATGAGCTAGACATTGTTGATGTACTTATTGCCTGGATATACTGTATATAGTAATTGTACTTAGTATATATGGTTTTTCTTATATTAATTATGACAAAAGGGGAAATATAGTGATACTTTTTTTGTGTTTTAATAAACAAAGCTTGCCTAGGTCTGAGTTCAATCCCCAGGACCTATGTAAAAGTGGAAGGGGAGAAGTGACCCACGGAGGTTGTCTTGTGGTCTCCATGTGTGTGCCACACTCACAAATCACACACACATACTGGTATATAAAAAGAAAAAAAAATCATCCTGGTGTGTCTTTTGCCCTCTACCTATCACCTCAGAGACACCTAAGATGTCTGAAGACATTTCGGGTTGCCACGGGACACCTGACAATGTCTTTCGGGTTGCCACATCATCAAGGATAGATTGCCCACTAAAGGTCGAGACCCCCTTCTCATGGTCTTGTATAAGTATTTATTGCCCAGATACCTGGCTGGATGTGTGTCCCTTGATCCTGTCTCCCTAGCGACTGGAAATGATGCAGACATTGGTGCTACCCCGTGCTCCACCCGCCATCTATCTAGAGCCCTTCAGGCTGAGCCTTCATGTACCCTAATGCACGGGACCAAGGCGCTGATAGGAGATGGCCTTGTGCCTCTCCTCATCTGTCACTCACCCTCTCACGAAGCAGGGGACTATGTCATCAGCCTGTATCCGGTTGAGCCAGGAGGAGCACACGCCATGGTGAATGGGTCCTTCCCCATCTAACAGAACGAGCAGGTGGTTCAGACCATCACGCCACGCACTGTCTCACTCCTCCAGTCCCAGCCCCAGCCCTCACCCGCAGTGAAGTATCTCCCAGCTCAATGCTAAGGGTTGTGCCTCAGAGTTCCAGACCTGGATCCTTGCTCTGAAGGGGAGGAGGAGCTGGTACACTCAGAGTGAGTTGAGTGTGCAAGTGCATAGGGTTTGGATCGGTCTGGGTGTGAATGCTCAGAGGACTTGGGTCAGGGTGTTCTGAATGGCTTCTTCATCCTGTCTCAGAGTCTCTAGGCACTGTGCACTTCAGGGGCTTGATCTCAAGGGAAAGACATCACAGTGGTGTCTGTGCTATTTAGCTCCAGACAGGCCTGTGTGATGCTCCTGTGAGTGCTGCCTGGCAGGGTGGACAGGGTGAGAGGAGGCCTAGGTGACCCCCCAGACACACACCTTGCCTATTCCTAACCATATTCAGGGTTAGCTCAGCTATGGGACACACTCCATTCCATGAGCTTGGCGGGCAGTGTCCTGTAAGAATTGGGGATCGAATCCACAGGTCATTCAAGGAGAGACCTCCAGATACCATGAGGGGGAATGCAGATTCAGGAATCCCCCAGATAGAGCTTCCCCAGGTACGCACCTCGAGTGTGGTAGGAGACAATGGCCACAGTGAGGTGCACTTCGTCGGGGTACATGTCTGGGGAGGAGCTGATGGAATAGTAGCGAGGCTGCAACAGGGACAGCTGGGTGAGGAGAAGTGTAGCCGGCATCTGGATGGACGGGAACTCCTCCAGCACCTCCACAATAGTGGGGTTCTTGCCCCATTTCCACTCCTCATATTCCTGCAGCCCCTGTGAGAAGAGGACAGAGAGGGGCTTGAGTCAGTGGGGCCTGGAGGAAGACCAGGGGAGCAGTGAGCTGACCTGAGGGTATTCCGTACCTACAGTGGGGCTAGGCAGCTCTGGCTTTGAAAGAGAGCCTCTCTTAAGATAGTGGTTCAAGTATGAAGTGTCCCTCACAGGCTGTGTTTGGACACTTGGGTCTCAGTTGGCAGTGCTGCTTTGGAAAGTTGTAGAATCTTTAGAGGTAGAGCCTAGCTGGAGGAAGTGAGTCCCTGAGGGCGGGCCTTCAGCTTTTATAGCCTAATCCACTTCCTGTTGACTCTGCTTCCTGACTGCTGTTGCAATGTGACCAGCTGCCTCATCTGACTGTGGCTATACCTTCCCTCTCATGATGGCTGCTCTCTGTGGCCTCTCTTGCCTTAGTTGCCTATTATTGGGCATTTGGTCACAGAGATGGCCATAGCTATTCTGAAATACCAATACCCCAGGATGGTTAATTGGTTCAGTAAAATCTATCACTCACGTCCCGGAGGTTCGTGGTTGGGGGACCAGCAGATTTGGTGTCTGGGGAGAATCTACTTTGGTGTAGATCCTATAGATCATGTAGATCCCAGTGGTGCCTACGTGTCTACATGTGGCAGAAGGGAGAAGCAGATTTCCTGCTTTCTTTTTATAAAAATGTCTATCTGGCCTATGGGGGTAAGGTCCTTGATGCAATTGTCTTGCAAAAGCCTCTCCCCTCTCTCTTCCCTTCCTCCTTCCTTCCATTTTCTTTCTTTCTTCCCTCCCCTTCCTTCCTCCCTCCCCTTCCTTCCTCCCTCCCTCCCTTCTTTTTTCCCTCCCTCCCTTCTTCTCTCCCTCCCTCCTTCTCTCCCTCCATTCTTCCCTCTCTTCCTCTTCTTTCCCTCCCTCTCCCTTCTCTCTCTGCCCCCCCTTGCAGCACCAGTCCTTGTGACTGAATTCAGAGCCTTGAGCACGTGACTGTAGCCTCCATCTATCAAGCTGCATCCCCAACCCCATCCCTACCTCTTGATGTCATCCCCTGATAAGTGACACATCCAATCTAACCGAGGGAGTTAATTTCGATGTGAGAAGCCTAGGGGCCATAAACACTCACTCTGCAGCAATGGCTTATTATCATCCCATCTCACAGATGAGGTTACAGAGACACAGAGTCCTGGTAAGCTAGGACTAGGCCTGTGTCTGAGCCGGGAATGGCCACCTCTAGCTGGCACACAGATCCACAGCGGCCACGTTTGTGTGGCCTGTGAGGTAAGAATTGTTTCTACGTTTAAAAAGATTTACTTTAAATTTTTATTTGTGTGTATGTGTCTCTGTGTCTTTGTGTACACGTGTGTGCGTGTATGTGTGTGCACGTGTCTGTGTGTCTGTGTGTGAGTGCTTACAGAGGCCAGAAGAGGGCGTCAGATTCCCTGGAGCTGGGATTACAGACAGTGGTGAGCTACCTGCTGTGGATGCTAAGCATTAAACCAGTCTTTGCAGGAACAGCAAGTTCCTTAAACTCTGAGCCACCTCTCCAGGTGTTTTTAAAGGTATCCATTTCCAACCCTGAGCCCCATTGGCCTCCAGCTGCTGCAGGCAGCCTCACTCACTTGTCTTACTGCTGGGTCTGAATCCCCAGCGAGAAGCAGCCTAAAGAAGGTGGATTTGTTTTGGATTACGATTCAAGGAGACACAGCCAATCATGGTGGATGAGGGACTGCAGGAATAGGAGGTGGCCATCCCATTGCACACATGCAGCAGGAGTGAGGCAGAGGATACATGGGGACATGGAACTGGGATCTAAGACCAAGATTCATCCCTAACAACCCACTTCTTCTAGGGAGGCCCTGCCCGTTAAAAGTTTCATAGTGTTTTCAAACAGTGCCCCCAGCAATGGACCAAGGAGGAGCGTGTGTGTGTGTGTGTGTGTGTGTGTGTGTGTGTGTGTGTGTGCATGTGTGTGTGTGTGTGTGTGTACATGGGAGTATGTGCACTTGAGGTCAGGTGCCAGCAGAGGCCAGAGGCCCTAATCTCCTGGACCTGGAGTTAACAGACAATTGTAAGCCACCTGATGTCGGTACTGGGAACCAAACTTGGGTCCTCTAGAAGAGCGGCAAGTTCTCTGAACAGCTGAACAAACTCTCCAGCCCCACGTTTCAGATTCAAAACATCAAAGGTCTCGTGACCGAGAGCCTCCAGGGGAAGACTCTGGACAGGCATGCATCTAACACTGACTTCCTTGGGCAGTGACCTCTACCTGAACCGCATTCGGCAGCTGTGCTACTGCTGGGCATGGATTCCTGCAGGATGTTCAAGCTCAGGACAGATGCCAAGGTGACTCTTTCAGGGAGCCATGACTTTGGCTCTAGGAACACCCAAGGACCATGGGCATTTTTTCAGAAGCCACATTGCAAGTGGTACACTTCCATCTGACCTTGCTCCTTCCCTTCTTCTCTGGGGTCTGCTTTGTTTTGTAGTCTGACCATTCCCTCCCAGCCACCTCTATCTCCCAGCCTGTTTTCTCTCTCACAGGTATTTCTTTCTGACAACAACAACAATAATAAAATTCCACTCACTTGTCTTGGAGACTCTGTGCTTTCCGGAAGAAATGAACTTTATATGAAACTCTCTCTCAAAGAATACTATGCAAAATGTTCCCCCGTCATACTCACCCCCGCCACCATTAATCACAAGTTTCTAGTCCAAATTATACATCTTCTAAAAGTTATAAAATCCTGCTAAGCTTAGGATGCAAAATGACGGCCACCCGTTCTACCACGGCCATCTGTCTCCTGCTCCCCATTCGGAGTCCTCGCTGCCTTCTGGTGTTTATTTTCACTTTTCTCGATAATGTGCACTTGCTAATGAGCCTCCCTCTTGCTACTCACCACCCAGTCCACTTTCTTGGATAGCAAAAGAAATGGCCTCTGCCGGGGGGGGGGCTGCTTCCTTGGAAGGAGACCCCCCCTTCCTGGAAACATTGGGGTTGGGTGGTCTACCTGAGTAGGTAGGTGTCTTTATTTTAAATTATACTAATTTTAAATTTTTCGATTTAAGCTAGGAGGTGGTCCCAGAACTCGGGAGGCAGAGGCAGGTGGATCTCTATGAGTTCAAGGCCAGCCTGGTCTACAAGAGCTAGTTCCAGGACAGGCACCAAAACTACAGAGAAACCCTGTCTCAAAAAACAAAACAACAACAGCAAAAAATTTTAGATTTATTTTATGTGTCTGAATGTTTTTCCTGAGTGTGTGTGTGTGTGTGTGTGTGTGTTTACCATGAGTGTGCCTGGTGATTCCAAAGGTCAGAAGAGGTTATCTGATTCCCTGGAACTGGGGTTATGAGTTGCCATGTGGGTTCTGGGAATAAAACCCTGGTCCTCGGGTCCTCTGCAAGAACAGCCAGTGTTCTAAAGGGTTGAGACATCTCTTCATCTCTTACGTTTTGTGCACAGGAGAGAGTGTCTGAGTGTGAGAGTATGAGTGTATGTGCACACACAAGGAGAATTCAGAGGGCAGTTTTCAGGAGTAACTTCTCCTTCCGCCATGTGGGCCCAGGGGATTGAACTGAGCCTAGGTTGTCAGCAGGTGCCTTTATCCACTGAGCCATCTTGCAAGCCCTGTTTTTGTTTTTTGACAAGTCTCATGCATTCCAGGCTGACACTGAATTCTCAAGTGAAGATGACCTTGAACTCCTGATCCTCCTGCCTCCTTGGTCTAGTTCATGTCTAGTTCATGTGGTACTGGGGATTAAAGCCAGGACTTTCTGTGTACTTGGCAGGAGCTCTACCCACTGGGCCACATCCCCAGCCTTAGGTGCCCTACTGAGCAAGGACAGAGAGCATCTTGGGTAAGGACCTTTGTGATATCTAGGCAAGGGTGGTAAAGCTGCTGGGTTCATCTGATCACCAGGATCACCAGAGGTCTCTTGTCTCTTTTCTAGCAACCTTTTTTTTTTTTTTTAGCTATTCTGGACCAGAAAATACCACTGTTACTACCACCAGAATCAAACCCCTATCTGTAAACCCGCTGTGAGGATCTCTGCTACCTTTGCTTCCATGCATGGGTTAAGCTGGCACCGACAAGAGCTCAAAACCACAAAGGAAGGCAGTAAGAGTTATTATAGCAATGCCTGCTGAGTTTCAGGAAGGGTCCCTTTCAATTTACCAGGCTTGAGAGCTGGGAGTCAGAAGGGACAAACCAATATGGCGACCATATGCAAACGAGGCCACGCCCCCCTTACTCACGACTGCCATCTGCTGTGAAAAGTTGGAAGAGCATATTCATTGCTTTTCCAAGACCCGGGACCAACCTTGCTGAGGACCAGCAGCCGCTGCTTCTCTTTCTCGCTGGTGGCCAGGGAGGCGAACTGCTGTAGCTGCAGGGGCGTGGGTGGCGTGGTGATGTCCAGGTAGTACTTGAAGGCCTGGAAGATGGTGCAGGGTGGGAGGCGAGGCTCATCCTTCCAATTGCTGATGACGCCTGGGGAGGCACAGGGGGGATAATGCTCAGGTCACCTAATCCTCACCACACTTATCACCCCAGATGTGGAAGAGGAAGCACAGAGAAGTGAAGGAATTTGTCTAAGGGCCACACAGCTTTCCCGGTGCAAAGGCAGGCCTTCTAGCCTCACCCCTGGCTCTAACTACGCTGTACCCCTGGTTCTCCATGTCCATGGCAGAGGAATGAAAGCAATGGAGAGAGAGAGAGAGAGAGAGAGAGAGAGAGAGAGACTTCATCTGTACTGAAATGTACACTTTTTTCCTTGTCATTATCCATAAACACTATGGTGTAGTGACAGTTTATAGGGCATTTATATCACACTGGGTAAGCCATCTAGAGAGGGTTTAAAGTATGCAGGAGGACGCACATAGTGGCATGTAGGTACCACAGTGTGCGTAGGTGTTATGTTTACATATGTTTACATAACACCTTTTCCATAAGGACTTGGGTATGCATGGATTCTGGCATCTTCTAGGGGTCCTGGAACCCTTCCTCCATGGGGGGAGGACTATTCTGTGTACCTTACAAACATGATCCCCTACCTCATTGTGAGCTCGAGACATGATGGAAATTCTGGTCTAACACAGAGAACTACATGCGATTAGATTCCCTAAGTGGGGGGGGGGGGGGGGGCGCGCGTGTCTCTTCATAGTGGCTCCTGCCAAGAGGATTTGCAGAAAGGCTTTGGTAGACAGCATGCCATTTTCACATTCTAGTTAGCTCCCCTGCAAAGGTGACAGCCATGGTGTCACAGGCTGCCAGGCATGGCCACCACAGCTCCTTGTACTGGCGTCTGGAGCCCATTCCCTATCTATGAAGTGAAGGCGGAGCTTGGAGACCCTCAGCTTTGAACATTCCCTATCTATGAAGTGAAGGCGGAGCTTGGAGACCCTCAGCTTTGAACATTCCCTATCTATGAAGTGAAGGCGGAGCTTGGAGACCCTCAGCTTTGAAGGTTCTTCAAACAAGGTGTGACAGGCTGTGTCTGTGGTTTTAGTACTTAGGAGGCTGAGGCAGGAGGATTGAAAGTTTGAAGTCAGCCTTGTCTACATAGAAAAAGGAAAGAAGGGAGGAAGTAGGAAGGGGAAGAGGAAAAGGATGAAGGAAGGAAGGGAAGGAGGGAGGGAGAAAAAGGGAAGGAGAGAAAACTAGAAACAAGAAGGGGAGGGAGGAAGAGAAGGAAAGGGAAAGAAAGAAGAAAGTGAAGGAGGGAAGGAGGCTACGGGTGATCCATCCATCAACTAAAGTGAGATAGGGAGCCCTCACCGAGAGGCCAACCATGCTCTGGCGGCTACTCTGCCCACTTGGAGCTGCGGCTCTCGCAGCCCTTCCATTGGGTGCAGCTGGACCCTCACCCAGAGCTGTGTTCCTCTCCTCCAGCATCTCCACCTTCACCATGTGGTTGGCAGGCGGTGCATCCTCCAGCCGCTCAATGAGCGCATTCACGAGGTCCTCGTGGTTGCCAGGGAAGACACCTAGGTGGTCGCCTGGCTGGTACTGCAGTTCCTGATTCCCATTGGTGTGGAGACGCACGAAGATGGTTGATCGGCTGCAGGGAACGAGAGGGATCGTGAAACAAAGAATTGAATTCCAGTTCAGGCTTGGCAGCAAGCACCTTTATCCACTGAGCCCTCTTGCTGGCCCTCTGTTCTCTTTTGCAAACAAGGTCCCTATTGCAGTATAAGAAGGCCTGGCTAGAGGCTCGGGCCTCTCCTGAGTAGACATGTCAGCGTATGAGAATTCTTAGCTTGAGGACGAGCGTGTACCTGCTCACACCTGTGTGTTTCCTGTTCAGGGGGCTCACACTAACCAGCTGCATCAAGAATGAAGTCTTGGGGCTGGAGAATGGTTCTGTGGTCAAGAGCTCTTGCTGTTCGTGCAGAAGACCTAGGTTTAATCCCCAGTACTCACGTGGCAGCTCACAGCCATCTGCAGCTCCAGCTCAAAGGGACAAGGATTCCCTCTTGTGGTACATGGATACACATGCAGACAAAACATCCACACACATAGAATAAAATAAAACTTAAAAAAAAAAACCCAAAAGAATAAATTCTTAGGGCTGGGGAGCTGACTCAGTGGTTAAGAGCACTGGCTGTTCTTGCAAAGGACCTAGGTTAGGTTCCCAGCGCCCACATGGAGGCTCACAACCATCTTCAATGCCAGACATTGCTCTTTCCCTTCGCCAACTGGTCTCAGTGGAGGGAGAAACTCGCATCTTCCACATGTAAATCACGCTTGAGTAGACCAAGAACCCTTGCTATTTAGGGATGTTTTTGGCATAACCAAGAGTCCCTTTGTGCTAGGAATAGCCACAGTTATTAAAAATAGCTAAACTGGCACATATCTTTGTGTGTGAGTGGGGTGGATAGCGTGTGAAGTCATCTCTTGAAGTCTGGTACTCTGTCTGTGGTATGGTGGGGGAACTTGAGAAGACTGTGTGTTCCTAGGGTTTGGGATGCCCTTCCCTCTCCCAGGAGGGTCTTACCCTCTCTGGGATGCGGAGCTTGTCAGTTTCAGCAGCTCACAGGACTTGTTTTTATCTCTAACTCACATTAGCATTTAGTTCCTAGGAGCAAAGACACCACCACCACCATAGCTTTCACTGGTGACGGGAAGAGCGTGACAGCAGCCACTAGCCAGCAGGGGGCGCTGCAAGGCTTCTAATTCAGGAGCCTGTTGCTCAAGCAGAGTAAGTCTTCGAAAGGCTTTCATTTCAAATCAACACCCAATTTCTTCCCTGCGTCAGGACTTATTCCCAAGGGGAAGGCCAAGGGCCTGATCCTGCTGAGCTGGCTGACGCTCACCTGCTTCCCCCAGGCCTCCTGATCCTGCAGGCGATTGGACAGTAAAGGAGGGACAGGATAGGGACGGGATGTGGCCAGCAGGTGCGTGGAAGGTGGGTCCAGGTTCTGTCCCATCTGGGATTTTGCACAAGATGATGTGACTGGGTGCCCAAGGAACCTGGTTGGACAATCCTCGACATTTTGCTGTGAAGTTTAGTTTCACTGGCTAACATCAATTACTGTCACACCCTCAATTCTTTGCATTTTTTCTACATTCATGAAGCTCTGGGATAGGGATTTTTTTCTTTTCCTTTCTTTCTTTGTTCCCTCCTCCTGTCTTCGTCACAGATTCTCTCTCAGGCTGGCTTTGAATGCTCACCTCAGCCTCCCAGTGCTAAGATTACAGGTGTGAGGCACGCCTCACGTGGTCTGCTGAGCAGCTGTGGGAGAGACAGGCCATGTGGGAAACAGTCGCCATTCAGGCCTTGTGTTCCTCTCTCCTCACAGCCCATCCCATGTCCCGCTCATTTCTTTCACGTACAGAAGTGTCACTTACATGTACTCAGACACACAGGCAGATAGATGCACATGCAGACACATGTGTGCACACGCAAAGACACACACAGATACATACATAGACACGTAAAGACAGGCAGACATACTCAGGGCAGTGGTTCATGTAGGGTCACCAGCAAGACAACAATTGTCTGACACCCCGCATTAGATAGAAAAATCCGAATAGCTAATAGCTCCATCCAGCCAGAAGGGTAAGGAGAGCCTGAGCTGGCTGCCCCAACAAGGTGCAGTTGTCTATGGGTTCCTGTGGCTTTAGGCACCTGGGAGAGAGTGATGGGCGGGGAGAGTGGGCGGGACATCTTATCCTCACTGGAAATCACTGAAAGGTCTCACAGGGTTAGGGCGGTGGATATGTGGCAGCAGAGGGGAGGGTGGCATAAGGGAGACAGTGGTCGCTTGGGGTCTGCTTTTTGACATAATGCGGATTGAGCACACGGAGACCCCTGGGCAGGGTGATTGAGGAGAGAGAGTCAGCAGAAGTCCAGGGCAGAAAAGGGGAACAGCGCATTAGGAAAGCTGAAACGGTGCTTTCTTCATTTTATGTTGACGGTGTTGGGCTAGGTTGTCCAGGCTACCTTCTAACGCACTGTGTAGCCCAGGCTAGCTCTGAACTATACATGCTAGGCACATCAGGAACTCACAGTCCTCTAAAAGGCATGTGCCACCATGTCTGGCCATGACTGCAGAGTTTGAGAGAGGTGATAGGTGGGTGCCAGGGGCCTCTCCATGACTGACTGTAGTAATATGAGCGGCGGGGCTGCGTCCCCAGCACCCCGGCTGCCTGGCTAGCTTATGCCCGAAATAACAACACACAAACTGTATTCATTTAATCACTGCTTGGCCCATTTCCATCTAGCCTCTTCTAGGCTAATTCTCACATATTAATTTAGCCCACTTCTAATCATCTGTGTAGTGCCCCTAGGTGCGCTTACTGGGAAGATTCTAGCCTATGTCCATCCTGGGCCGGAGCTTCATCCCGTGCGACTGTCTGGGAGCTGGGAGCATGGCGTCTCTCTGAGGCATCTGCTCCTGAGAGGAGAGCTGTGGAGTCTGAGCTCACTTCCTCTTCCTCCCAGCGTTCTGTTCTGTTTACTCCTCCCACCTATCTTCTAACCAATGAGGGCCAAGCAGTTTCTTTTTATTTAACCAATGACCTTCCTCCATCAACTGACCAGACAAAGATTTCAGAGAATCCCCTTTGATCTTCAGGAAACACTGTGGGCTGTAAATTGGGGGAGAGAGTGCCTCTACTTCAATCAGCATTTTAAAAAAGATCTCTTGGGTTACCTTATCTCAAAAACATACAGAATCTCGGGCTAGAGAAATGCTCTGTAGTAAGTGTGCTTGCCCCCCCCCCCAAGCAGAGGGCCTGTGTTTGGATTCCCAGTGGCAAGTAAAAATCATGGAGGCGGCATGCGCCTATAATCCCGCAGCTGGAGAGGAGGGGCCTGGGGCTCACAGGTCAGCAGTCCAGTTGTATCGGTCGGTGACCTCCAGGTTTAGTGAGAGCCTATCTAAAAAGCTAAGGTTGAAAGTAACTGAGGAGATTCCACCTGTCACCTCGGGCCTCTATACATGTGTCCACACATGCATAAATGTGTGCATCCCACACGGACATAGAGATTGCTCTATCCATGTCCATCGAAGATTCCCTTCGTGCCCTCAAGTTCACACTTCCCTTTCTAGGCATCTTCTCGCTTTTCTTTTTTTTTAATTAATTAATTTATTTATTAAAGATTTCTGCCTCCTCCCCGCCACCGCCTCCCAACATTTCCCTCCCCCTCCCTCGATCAAGTCCCCCTCCCTCATCAGCTCAAAGAGCAATCAGGGTTCCCTGCCCTGTGGGAAGTCCAAGGACCACCCACCTCCATCCAGGTCTAGTAAGGTGAGCATCCAAACTGCCTAGGCTCCCCCAAAGCCAGTACGTGCAGTAGGATCAAAAACCCATTGCCATTGTTCTTGAGTTCTCAGTGGTCGCTTTTCTTCTGGGAATCCCACCCTCCTTACCAACCAATCCCAGTCCTTCAGTCTCGCCCCTTGACTTCTAGAATTTTCCGTTTCTATCCTGCCCACACTCACCCCATTACACCCTCTCACACATTGCTTTTCCTAATTACTGTGCCTGTATCACAAAATTTGTTTCCAAGCAGGATGCCGAGGAGGGTCACTCTGCATGGGTGACACACGCCAAAGGACACTTCCTTCCTCTTTGGCACCGTACCTGTAATTAAGGATTACTAGTGGGAACAGTTTGTGATGTTTTCCTAGGCCAGAGAGGCTCCCTCTTTGGCCTTGTCCTGGGAAAGTGGGTGAGTTATGCTTTTCCACTCAATTATACTTAAAAAATTCTATAAAGCGTTATCTTTTAAAAATATATTTAGTTATTTTTATTTTATGTGTATGTGTATGGGTGTTTATTTTACATGCATATGTATGGGTGTTTTTCCTGCATGTACATTTGTGCGCCATGCTTGTCTGGGCCCACAAAGGCCCAAAAGAGGGAGTCAGATCCCCTGGAACTGGAATTATAGGTGGTTGTGAGCCACCATGCGGGTGCTGGGCATTGAACCCAAGTCCTCTAGAAGAGCATCCAGGGCTCTTAACCACTGGCCCATTGCGCCAGTCCCCTAACCCCTTAGGCGCAGTTTGGTCGCTAGTTCATAACTCTTTTAACTCTATTCCAGTTCCTAACCTTGCTTGGCAAATTCCTTTGTTAATCTTGGAAACTCTGCCAGAGTTGGGTCCCTCCGGGTGGTAGACAGCAGCGGATTCCAAGGACACGTGCCTGAGAACCATGCTCTTGGGAGGACCCACTCCACACTGGCTTTTCATGGACTCTTCAATGCGCATGGCTCCTTGGTGCACTTAGAACCCCTCTTGTAACACCATGTCAGTGGTGACTTTCCATGGGATAGAGTGGGGACATCAGGTACGGCTTTTCCACAGCCCCTCTCCGTCAGATGTCCCTATGCATCTAATGCTGCATGGAACTAACTGTTCAAAGATACTAAGTGCCTAATCTATTATATTAATGTCTGAGAATATTTGAGGGGAGTTCAAGAGGCTCGGGGTTCTGCCCTGCTGACCTCTCTAATCAAAGGCTCGGAAGGGCACGCAGGAAGCATGCATGCTAACTACACAGGTAGCATGAGGAGACGGGGAGGAACAATGGATCCTGTACTGTGCCAGCCACTTTAGGAGGATCATTTTCAATGGTCACAGCAGCCTGGCAAATGAGACGGAGACCATCTGGGGAGTCATTTGGTGTGGTGGCCAGATAATCAGGTCAGTGTGACCTTGAAAAAAGACACTTGCATTTTCTCTTGGTTACTTCTCATATCTAACATGTGAACAATTGTGACCTTTATTTCCTGGACTGGTGTGAGTTAGAAATAGCATTCAGGGAGCTCTGCTCGGTGCACGGAAGACAGAGAGTATCAGATACAAGTGAGCAAGCTTGCTGTTAGCGGTTCCGTGCTATAGTAAAGGAGAAAGGACCTCAGAGCATCCCAGTGGCTTTTTAAGAAATGCGTTTATTTTCATTTTGTCTATGAATGTTTTGAATGTATGTGTGTTCACTGCTACCCATGGCAACCAAAAGAGGGAGCCACATACCCTGGAACTGGAGTTACAGATGGTTGTGAGCAACCATGTGGGTGCTGGGAACCAAACCAGGGTCCTCTGCAAGAGCAGCCAGTGCTTTTAGTCACTGGTCACCTCTCCAGTTCTCAGTTCCACACCCTGTGACTTTCCCAAGGCTGCTCGGGAAATGTGTTAGAGAACTGGGGTCAGTGCCTAGGACTGCAAAGGATAAAGAATTTAGGAGACACACCTCAGCTGTAACTGAAAGGTGAAAAAATAAATGCCAAGAGGGATCAGCGCAAAGACTTAATTATTATAGATGAAGAGCGGCAGCCAGCCTGCGTGTGATCATTCTGAAAAGAGAGGTGCCTGGGCTCAGTGAGGACACAGGCTTGGTGGGCGGGTGGGTGGGCCATGAGGACAGTGTTGCAGGACAGGTGATATCGGCATGTCCTGTTCAGGCTGGTGATGGCGGTAGCTGGCCCGACACAGTTGTTGGTGGTGATCATGTGACCTCTGCTGCTGAGGTCTGGGAGTGATATTTCCAGTGGAGGAGTAAGGTGGTTAAAGCCTGAGGCTCCGGAAGCCGGGTCTTAGGAAAACAGCTTGGAAGCCAAGGGACCCAAAGGATATGGGGCAGTGTCCTTGGTCATGTAAGTCTCTTGGGAGGGAAAAATGATTTGTTTTGGGCATTGCTGAAAAAGCTAACTGTGATTTTGTTTTTTGGTTTTTCGAGACAGGGCTTCTTTATAGCTTTGGAGCCTGTCCTGGAATTAGCTCTTGTAGACCAAGTTGGCTTTGAACTCACAGAGATCTGCCTGCCTCTGCCTCCCAAGTACTGGGATTAAAGGCGTGCACCACCACTGCCCAGCTAAGCTGTGTGGTATTTATTTATTTATTTTGGTTTTTCGAGACAGGGTTTCCCTGTGTAACAGTCCTAGCTGTCCTGAAACTAGCTCTTGTAGGCCAGGCTAGCCTAGAACTCACAGGGATTTACCTGACTCTGCCTCCCAAGTGCTGGGATTAAAGGCGCGTGGCACCACCACCCAGCTAAGATAACTGTGTTTTAAGTCAAGTGCTAAGATTCAAAATGCAGTTCACTAGTCCAGCACTCACCTAGTGTGTGTAAGATCCCAGGTTCAAGCCCCAGCATTGCATAAAACAAAAGCCTCATCAACCCCCCTGCCCCTGCTCCAAGTGCTAAGACAAACATACTCTCTATCAGATAGCAAGGTGTTTGGCTATAGCAGAGAGTAAATTGTTTGGCTATGTTGGGTAGTAAGATAATTTCTAGGGCTGGGGAGATAGCTCATGGGGTAAAAACATTTATGGCACAAGACTAAAGACTCGAGTCCAGCTCTCTACAGCCTATGTAAAAGGGTTCATAGCGCTGGAGAAACGGAAAAGTGGTTAAAAGCACTGGCAGCCATGGCAGAGGAGCGGGTATAGTTCCCAGCATCCACATGGTGGCTCACAATCACCTGTAACTCCAGTTTGAGGGCATCGGACACTCTCCTGGTCTTGGTAAGCCATACCTCCCCACCCCCAACACACACACGAGCAACAACAAAAAGCCAAATGCAGAGCGAGCATGCCTGAAAAGCCCAGCACCCATAGGAAAGGACAGGAGGGTTCACAGAAGCTCCACGGGCCACGTTGGGCTCGTGCAGCAGTGAAGAGTCCCTGTCACAAATGAGGTGGGACGTAAGGATGGGCACTCAAAGATTGTCCTCTGATCTCCCTAGGCACATGGTGGCACACAGATAATATATTATAGATAGGGTTTCGAATCAAAGAGTAAGCAATTTGGGGGTGTGCCTGCCATCACTCCACAGTACAAGTAGCTATTTTTGCAGCTCTCTAGAGCAGTGGTTCTCAACCTTCCCAGTGTGACCCTTAACCATAAAATTATTTTTGTTGCTACCGTAATTTTGCTACTGTTATGAATTGTAATGTAAACAGCTGTGTTTTCCAGTGGTCTTAGGTGACCCCACCATGGAGGGTCATTGGATTCCCCAAAGGGGTCGTGACCCACAGGTTGAGAAATATTGCTCTAGCAAACCATCACTCACAGTATTGGATTGAGCACTTTCAGATGGAGATACTGCCTATGGAGACTACTCCACTACTTCACAAGGGGGCAGCCTGCCAAGCTCACCCTGAGGCCCATTTCTTTCTCAGCATTATATTGACACTTCTTCGTCCCTGTCTCTAGTTAGGGACATGGGGACATAAAGGCAGGGGTCTGAGGACCTGGTGTGAGGGGCTCCAGGAGCTTTTAATGGTCTCTGGAATCTGAGTTCTCCTTCCTGGAAGCGGAAGGGATTGCTGCTGAGTGGGTGTTCCTACCTGGACTTGGGGCTCTGCAGGTTTTGGCGGCTAAGGAATCGAGCAGCTGAGACTCGCTTTTTGTGCACACTGGAAAGACCTGTGAGGAGAGAAATAATGGCCACCATGAGTGGGGTTTAAACAAAGCTCCACAAAACCTCTCCACCCTTGGGTACGTGGGTGTGCATGAATGTCTGCATGTGCCAGTGTGTGTGCAGGTACATGTGTTTGTGTATGTGTGTATGTAGAGGCCAGAGGATCCTGAGCTGTCATTGTTTAGACAAAGTTTCTCTCTGGCCTGGAGCTGGCCAGTTTGGCTAGGCTGACTGGCTAGTGAACCCCAAGGTTCTTTGGTTTCCTCTTTCCCAGTGCTGGGACTGTAAGCATACACCACCATGCCTGGCTCCTTCATGGGTTCTGGGGAATCAATGCAGGTCCTGGTGTCTACAAAGCCTGTCCTTTACCAAGTGAGCCACCTCCTCTGACCCCTTTCCAGCTCTTCCTCTGGAGTGGAAAGGGTGAGGGTGAGGGTAGATATCAGTGGGGCTGGGTGAGGTGGATGCAGACACAGAACCAAATGCCAAGGTAGATGGAACGGAGGTGGGGATGGTTTGTAGGCAGGCTGTGTGACCGGAGAGAGACTCCCCATTATACAGTACCCTGCACGTGGGGACAAAAGTATGGCCTGTGTGCTTCAAGAGATTCTCTGAAAGGAGACCAGAGTGTAAGCCACCACTCCCATACACCCTTGAGAGGATATCTCCAGCCCAACCCTCCCAGGGTCAGGTACCTTGTGTCAGCTCTGGAGCTTCAGCCACGTAGGTGAGGCGGAACTTGTTCCTCTTCCAGCTGCGGTCGTTGCTGATGAGGGAATTGTTCGCCTTCTCGATGTTGACGTCATCCCCCACACAGAACACATCACAGGCTGCCTGTGACCCACACAGAGTTTCTAGTGACCTCAGTTATCCTAGATGGTGCCTCCCCAGGAGCTCCAAGTCATGGCATGGATGTCTCTCTCCACCCCTCTTTTTCTCTCCCCTCTCACCCTTTTCTTTCCTCCCTCTCTCCACTCATTAATCCATATACCCATTCTTCCTTCCACCATCTATCCACCAACTCACTTACCCACCCATTAATCTACCCACCCCTTCATCTACCTACCTGTCTGTCCATTTATCTTATCAACATTTTCTTCCATCCATTCAACTAACCATCCATTCATCTATCATCCATCCATCCATCCATCCATCCATTTATCATCCATTTATCCACCCATCTATCCATCCATCCATCCATCCATTTATCATCCATTTATCCACCCATCTATCCATCCATCCATCCATCCATCATCTAAGCATCCATCCATCCATCCATTCATCCATCCATCTATCCATCATCTAAGCATCCATCCACTCATTTATCCATCCATCTATTCATTTATCATCCATCCATCCATCCACCCATCCACTGACACACACACCCATCTATCTGTCCATCTCCACATAATATTTCATCCACCTGCTCACTCTTTCATATCCATCCATCTGCCCCACCCATCCATGTACACATTATCACCCTCTATTTTAAGCAATGACTTGAGATCCTCACCTCTACTAAAGACACGGCTGTAATGACATTTATTACTAAATCCCACATACCCAGAGGTTTAATATTAAAAATGAAAGTAAATGCCATAGAAGGTTTTTTTTGTCTTCTTCAAAAGATTTAAAACAATTACACAAAAGCAGAAGAAGCTGTCTGGATACACATTTTTTTCTTGTTTGTTTCCTTTTTGGTCAAAACTCTTTTATCAGCAAACAGTAATGATCCCAAGATTACTGCTCAGAATGATTAGCAAACTTTTTCTGAGATAGGCCCAGGGAGCTCTTGAACCTTCAGGTCCCAGTAATGCCCCTGCCTCAACCTCTTAGATAACTGAGACTGAGGCATCAACAACCATGGAATTACTTAATCCAGTGAAATTTGAAGTTTTCAAACATAGGCTTTATTATTATCTGGTTGTGTGCTTATTTCAAAACAGTTGACATGTTCGTCAACAGAAAAATAGAAAAGCCAAGTATCATGGGGTGTAATATTATTTGGCCACAAAACGGGATAAAGTGCTGGCACATGCCACAACATGGATGGACCTTAAAAGCTCTGTAATATGGGAAAGAAGCCAGTCATAAAAGGTTCTGGTATTGAACTTCATTCATATGAACAAGAAAAAATATCTGCAGACACAGAAATGAGTCTGGTGTGGGACAATGGTCTGTATTCTGTCACTTATATTTTAAATAAATGCTGAGTAGCCAGTAGCCAGGCAGGAAGTATAGGCAGGACAACTAGACAGGAAGTAGAGGCAGTTCAATGAGAACAGGAGAATTCTGGGAAGAAGGAAGTCCTAGTCTGCAGTCGTGACCCAGCCACAGAAGTAGTAAGATGTGACTGCCTTGCTGAATAAGGTACTGAGCCACGTGGCTAACATAGATGAGAATAATGGGCTAATATAAGTTATAAGAGTTAATAAGAAGCCTGAGCTAATGGGCCTATCCGTTTATAACAAATGTGGACCTCTGTGTGATGTCTTTGGGGCTAAATGGCTGTGGGTCCTGGTGGGTCAATGTGAGTCACTGTTCAAGCTGAGGGCAGGATGGGAAACCAGGATATCAACAGCTGCAGGGTTTAGAGCAACGGTTTTCAACCTGTGGGTCCTGATCCCACTGATAAACTTCTATCTCCAAAAAGTTTACGTTACAATTCATAACAGTAGCAAAATTACAGTTATGAAATAGCAATGAAAACAGTTTTATGGTTGGGGGGTCACCACAACACAAAGAAGTGAATTAGAGTGGTAGGAAGGTTGAGAACCACTGGTTTAGGGGCTTCTTGGGGGCTTGGCCTTTGGGATGCTCAGTCAAAGTAGACCGATGAGAAGAGAAAACACAGTTATCTCAAATGTGGGTGAACTTGAATTCATCTCGGCTCTCAATGTCTGGATGGAAATCCAGGAAGAGGCTTATAGACATAGATCCCTTTAATAACTCATAGATCCTTGGGCCTCAGTTTCCCTTTTGGCCTTCGGCACAAGTTCAATGACAAGCTGCCTAGGACCCTTCCTTCTAGGGTAGCTCATGAGGACGGATTCCAGGGCCGTGGACAGAGAGAATAAAAGCCACAGGGCCGGCTTCAGTGTCCCTGAGATCTCTGAGTGGGAAAGGTGTATGTTAAGGTTGCTCAAATTCACTGGAGCTGTATCCTGGCTGTGGACATTGGGGGAGGACCCTCCTTGGCCTTTCCTTCTCTTTCTCCTTCATTTTCTTCCTTTTTGCCTCCCTCCCTCCCTCCCTCCCTCCCTCTTTCCCTCCTTACTTTTCTTGCTTTACATTTCTACCCCCATCTCCTTTCCTTCCCATTCTGGGGTTACAAACCTGTGCCTCCTGCTTGCTAGGCAAACACACTACCACTGAACCACACTCATGGATAGCTTGGTACTGTCTCGGGTACAGAGGGTCTCCTACCTTGAAGACCTTCTTGGCCCAGGTCCTGAATGCCTCTTCCTGCCCACAGAGCTCATCCCCCTCCCTCATCTTCAGAATCCTCTCCCCTCCTAGCTCCTCCAGGAGGGTGTCCACTGCATGCCCAAAGGCGCAGAAGTGAGGGTATGCCCGAGAGCCCAGGCCGAATACTGAGAACCTGTCCAGGAGAAAACAGAAGGTCTGTGATGGGGGACTGCAGGGTGTGGGGTGTCTGGTCCCATGGGCTGATTAGTGTGACCTTGAAATTCATGTACCGGAATCCTGAACTCCATGGGATGGTATGTTGGAATAGGAGCTTTCAGAAAGTGATCAATGTTAGTAAGCTCCCTATAAAGTCATTCTCTCCTCCTCCTCTTCCTTCGCCCCTCCTCTCCTCCTCTTTCTCTAACAAACTGCTAAGAGAAGCAGTTGGAATCTAACCTTGCTGAACTCCTAGTTCGGAACTGTGTAAAAACACATTTTAGTGGAAGGATGACTTTAATCCCAAGAGCTCTTAAGACCCTTCTTCCTCTTAGTCTCTGACAGTGATGATTGTCCTCAAGAGAAGGTTCCAGAAGTTTCCGAGGAAGGAGAGGGCAATGAGCGGGAAACATCGGCTGTTGGGTATAGTCTCTCCTCTGTTAGCTAGACCATGGACAGAATAGAATCTCAGCAGGGATGCTTCCATTTGCCACAAGTCAATGTCTCAAAGATGGCCATGAGGACCCTAATGTGGTGGCCATCGGGGATCTGAACTCACAAAGAGACCCGAAGGACTTTTGAATTTATCACATGTTGGTGTAGAAGTGGGATTTCCTACGTGGGGATGATAGAGTCGTGCACACTGTACATGCATGCTGTACCCTTTCTAATGTCTGTGAAACTAGTGTTTCACAAGCTCTCTCCACCAAGAGAACTTGATTCAGTGGGGGTGAAGCGAATGTGAGTTTTCTCCATGCTGAGGTGGGGACTGTAGGACTGGGGAGGGCGGTGGACCTTATTTATTTATAGGATTTTTCTTTGTTTGTTTGACTCAGGGTTTCATATAGCCTAGGATGGCCTTGAACTCTGCTTCTCCTGCTCCCATCTCCTGAGTACTGAGACATTAGTTTTTATAGTGCCAACAGTTAGTTTGCCCTCTTTTTTTTTTTTTTTAAAAAAAAGATTTATTTATTATGTATACAACATTCTGCCTCCATGTATGCTGACACACCAGAAGAGGGCGCCAGATCTCATTACAGATGGTTGTGACCCACCATGTGGTTGCTGGGAATTGAACTCACGACCTGTGGAAGAAAAGCCAGTACTCTTAACGACTGAGCCATCTCTCCAGCCCCCTAGTTTGCCCTCTTACAGATATTATACTGCTCATTTCTGGAGAGTGGTCCTGACTAAGCCATCTGGACTACAATGATGGATTCACCAATGCGACAGAAGCCCCTGTCTGCTGTCTCCAAGGAGGATGCTCTGATAAAGACAGTCACCCCAGACAAGCCAGGAGTGGAGCCTTGTCACCCACTGTCCCTGAGTGGTTCGAGGCTGCTGGGGATGAAATGGCAGCAGAAATGGAAGAGGAAGGAGGAGGGAGGGAAGTTGGGAGGAGGCTTTTCATCATTACAACATGAACTGGGATGGACCCAGTGGTCTCACTGGTGGAGCAAATGTCATCACAGGTCTCTCTGTCATCCTTTGACCCTGTTAGATTCTGCTGTTCCTTTCTTTCACAGCCTTCTTCTCCAGGGGCTCCAGAGTCCTCCCAAGCACAGCCTGTGCATGAGACCAGGTTTTTCCCGTCACCCCCCACAGTTTTGCTGGGTCTGAGTACCACTCCTCACAGGGAAGCAGCCTACGCACAGACGAGGCAACCAGTGTGGACAAATCAGAGGGGTGACAGAAAAGGGTTCTTCTGTTTCATGCCTTATCCCAATACAGATACACCTAAGCCCAACATCCCTGTTATGTGGGTGTGTACTGTTGGCCACGTTAGACCTTACTGGATACTGTTAATGACTCCTTGTGTTTTAATTTGCTTTTTAAAATTACTTAGCTGTGTCTGTGAGTGTCTTCACACACGTGTGCAGATGTGCATGCCTGTGCATAGGCAGAGGCTAGAAGAGGGTATTGCATATTCTCCTCTACCTCCCCACCTATCCCTTTGAGGCAGGGTCTCTCCTTGAATGTAGAGCTTACATTGTATAAACCAGCAAGTCCCTGCCATTCTGTTTCCACTCTCCTGAGACATGGGGTTGCAGGCATGGGTAGGATACCTGGCTTGTGTAACTTCCTTTTGTTTTTCATGCACTGACTGGGCAGACTACATACTATGGCTTGAGTAATTGAGTCCCTGACTCCCACGAGGAAGCCTGTTCTGATGGAATGAGGGGAAAGGACTTCTGGGAGGTGATTAGGTCATCAGGGCAGGGCTCTTAGAATGAAGTGAGTGCCCATTTAAGGGGTTGAAGGAACCAGACTTCATCCCTCCCACCACATGAGTGCACAGCTATAAGGAGCTGTGCATGAAGTAGGGGTGAGCTCTCACGAACCCTGACCTTGGACTCCCCAGGCCCCCAGAAATGAGAGCAACAAATGTCCATCAGTCTTTCACTACAGCATCTCCAACAGACTCAGGCGCGTGACCTTCCTGCTCACCAGCAGAGGATCAGGTGGCTGACTCATGACAGCACTTCCGGACGGGCTGAGGGGCCCACACCACAGTCACTGGGAGACTCACGTTACCATGACAATCACTACCGAGGAGTCCAAAGCTCCTATTTTAAACCTCGAAATCAACAGTTGACTAAGTTCTCATCTGCTGGGCCAGATAGCAAAGACATTTAAGATTTCAAAGTTGAAAGGTTCTTTGTGGGTTTTTAAACAAGGAAAAAAAAGTGCGTGCATATTTTTTTATGATAAAATGAAAATATCATCATAATTAAGTACAATTAGTTTTGGCGTGTGCACAGGTATGTGTGTACACGCATGTGGGGGCAGATGCCAATTGTGGATGTTGAGTCTCAGAATAATTTTTTTTCGCTGGGACCTGAGGACCCTGTTTTCCTCCACAGGGCCGGGATCACAGCTCACACCTTGATGCCCGAAGCCATGCCTGGACTTCACACAGGTCTTAGGGATCAAACTCAGGCCCTCATGCTCACGTGGTAGTAACTTTCCAGACTGAGCCAACTCTACGCTCTTGAGTTCAGTTCTTTAAATACGAGTCTACCAATGGGAAGAAGGGAGTTGTTTTCGGGGGTATGGGTTAGGGCAGGGATACCTTTTTTCCTAATTGGAGTATGAAGGTAATGCTAACATAATGTTCTGATATTAAAATCTAAAGCTGCCCCACATTATGAGTGACACACACCCATGCATACACACGCCACATACAGATTATAAATAGAGTGTAAGAATGTAGCAATAGATACAATTCTTCACTGTTTAGGAGTCCTGTGTCCTGCGCCATCTATGAGTCTGGCTCTGAGCAGTCATTGAGAAGGCTTGTCTGGTCAAGGTGGGAGACAGTTATGGCTAGGTCTGGATGGTGGCCCAACAGGCCTACTATGACCTTTACTCAGGACAGCGAATCTTGACGTCCCCATTTTTCTTTCTAAATACTTACTCAACTGAACACACATTGAGTCCTCAAATGCTTGTCTTTGTGCCCCTCCTCTGCCAAATTATCTCATGGAATGTGACTCTGCTTTAGGAAAATGTGGGTTTGGGGAGGAGTTTTCAAATCTGACCCCATGGCAGAGTCCACTGGAAGGCTTAGAAGAAAAGCGGCAACAGTAGGTCCAGTTCTAGACCAACTGCAGAAGCTCTTCCGTTGGATTTGGGCATCACACTGGCCAATTGTGTACATCCCCAGGTTATTTTTGCTTTGTTTGAGGCCCTCCTAATGTAGCCCAGGCTGGCCTTGAACTTGCCATCCTTTCCCCTCAGCTTCTTGAGGGCTGGGACTACATTACCAGCCACACATGGGTCGCCTCCAAGTGACTACCATGTGTCTAGGGTTGAGATCCATGGGATCACCATGGCAGGGTGTCTCCAGAGATGTTTGCTCTGTGTAAAATCTGCAGCTGAGACAGTGGCATCCAGAGACTAGTGCCCTACAGTACAGATGATGGATTAGCCTTGGTGATAGGATCTGTGTGGCAGCGGGGTTAGCGGGAGAGACTCAGAGGTTGTCAGGGGCAAATGTTCCCACACACGGGAGACCAGGTAGTGTGACTTAGAGAGGAAGCAGCCCCTGAAGAAAGAAGAATTCTCCTCCCGAAGGAAGAACCACTCACCGACGAGCCCTGCTCCCTAAGAGCCTTCACCGCCCTTGGTCCCCTGCACCCACACTCACCTCACATTGGCCAGGGGTCCAGTGCTTTCAAAGTTGTCCCTGAGGTCAGGCCCATCGCCTGATGACTTGCGGGAGTCAGAATAGGAGGAAACGCTGTTGAATCGAACCTTGTAGCTCCTGTGACAAACGGACAAGGGCATGAACTCTGCCTTGGAGCCCTTCTGAGGCTAGCTCCCACCCTGGACATCTTCAACTTCTTGATCCTGGCTCTAGAACTTTCTCTCCGCTATTGAGATAAATTATACCACTCCTCTGGGCTCTCTGGGAATGCATCGATTTACCCACAATGGCCATAATGATACCTGACCTCTCAAATGCAAATGTTTCTGGGCCTTGTTTAAACTGGGAAGAGTGAGACCCACAGAGTTCAGATGGTCTTGTCAGTATGGGGTCAGTGGGGTGAGGGGGGGGGAGATGCTGTGACTGGGACCAGGCCTCCTGGCCTCTCAAGTTGTAGCATGCAGAATAAGGGGGAACTCTGGTAAAGTGAGGGTTCTGGTTCAGTAGAGATCGGGGGGCTCGAGAGTCAACATTTGCTGCCTGCGACTATGCAAACCCAAAGCTAATTACAATGAACTACAATTACAAACTAGGCATCCAAGACGAGAGGGCTTGGTTAAATGTGGGATGTGCAGAGAGTAGGAATCCAGAAGAGACTTTCTAGCCATAAAGAAGAATGAAGTCAGCCTCAGCTGAGCTTGGTGGCTCACGCCTTTAATTCCAGCAGACTAAAGGTAGAGGCAGGTGGATCTCTGTGAGTCTGAGGCCAGCCTGGTTTGCAGAGTGAGTTCCAGGACAGCCAGGGCTACCCAGAGAAACCCTGCCTCAAAAAATCAAAAAGAAGGAGGAGGAAGAGGAAGAGAAGGAGAAAGAGGTCACATTAGTTGCAGAAATGGGGGTTGGGGTAGGGATGGTTACGTAAGCCAATCCCAGAAAAATATTTTACATTTTCTCCCATTTGTAGTTCCTGAATTTTAAAGCAACACATAACATCATGTATGTGTAAATGGCAGGGAAGTACAAGTGAAGCTGTGGAGGGACACGGGAAGGGCAAGGAAGGGGGTTAGGGACAGACGGGAAAATATGCCCAACCTCTAGTGTGCCCTGGCATGAAAATTTAAAGCATCGGCGCCTTGCCTGCACTCGTCGCGTTTTGTTCCAGGTGCTCAGTAGCCATATGCTGCTGGTGGCTGCTTTACAGCCTGCATAGACAGACGAGATCACTGTAGAAAGTCCCACAAGGCTGGCCTGTCCCTGCCAGGACTCTCCTGCTGTGGAGCGACATTCTCAGACATTTTAGGGTCACGAGCCGCGTTTCTAGTAAAAGTGGAAACTGTTCTTGGCACTGATCTGAGGCATGCATGCACACTGTGTGTGGGTGGGGGTGTGTGTATTTATGTAAATATGTACATATGTTTGTGGGTCCACGTATGTAAACGTGTGTGTGTATGTCTGTGCACATGTGGGGGGCTGTATTTGTACTTGTGTATAGAGACTAGAGAGAGGTCTTTGGGAGTCTTCCTCAGGTGCTGGCTGCCTATCTTGTGTTTTGAGACAGAGTCTGTCATTGGCCTAGACAAATAGGCTAGGTTAGCTGGCCAGGCCTCTGCAGGGATTGCTATACCTGCCTTCCTGACTTTCTCTTTCTTTCTCCTTTTTCCTCCCTCCCCTCTTTTGCATTTCAGGAGACAGGATCTTAATATGAAGCCATGACTGGCCTTGAACATACAGACATCCCCTGCCTCTGTCTTCTGAACACGGGGATTAAAGGTGCTACCACGCCCGGCCCCACCATGTCTGGACAGTGTGTGTTCTGAGGGTGGAGCGCAGGTTCTCACAGCTGTGAGACAAGCTCCTCATAGGCCCAGCATTTTCCCACAGTTTTCACAGCCAGGGAGGATGTCCAAGGCCCAGGCCGCAGCACAAGAGGCTCAGGAACCCGAGACTGAAAACAAAATCAGTTTCCATCAAGATCTTTTGCTTCTAGACAAACCAGAAACAAGTGCTGGCATTGCCACTCTGGCAGAGGATCTGAGCAACCACATGGAGGCTTATAATGACCTGCAAGTCCAACTCTAAGGGAGGTAGCTCCCCCTTCTGGCTTCTGTGGGCACTGCACACATTTACACTCAACATAATTTAAAATAAAATAAATCTTAAAAAACACAAACTAAAATAAAATTCTCAATATTCAACACAGACAACTCTTCCCTTCCCAAATCCCCTAAACTAAGACAGAATCCCAAGAAACATATTAGAATGCAAAAGGAGAGGGAGGGAGAGAGGGAAGGAGAGAGGGAGGAAGGGAGGGAGAGAGACAGAGAGAGAAACAAAAAAGGAACATGCACACTCTGGCAGAGCGTTTCTAGGCTGGATGCTTTTCAAAGTTTTTGTTCTAACAAGGTTCTAAATACACGGATGTGTATTTTCTGCCCCGAAAATAGACTCGCTTTGAGTCACTTCTCCAAATCCGTCATGCAGCATACCAGGGGGTGGCTGTGTCGTTAGCGGGGGAGTCACGATGGATGGTTGTGGGGTAAAAATACCAGCACGTGTACTGTATGAGGCTTGAGGTTTCTGCCATTTCTTTCCCTGCTGTAGATAATTCCCTCTGTCCTCAGCAGCAGCCCCTAGAGACTGGCAGAGCCGAGGTTTCTCCCCATTCGGTTAATGAGAAGGACCAAGGTCCACAGAGGTCAAGAGATTTGCTTAAGTTCCTAGAGTTAGTGGCAAGGCCTGGGTGAGGATTCAGGTCTCTTTGAGACTCAGATGTAGCCAGGGACGTTCCAGCACAGGGCATGCATCATGTAACGTACACCATACACGCACACACACATGCACATGCACACGGATGCTCTCTACCTGTGCTGGTTGTCACCGACAGCAACCAGCCTGTGGGCTTCGAGGTTAGCATGGGACAGGGAAGGCCCTTTACGGGGAAAGAAATGCAAGGGTTCCGGGTACCTAGAGGGGAGAATGGATGGTGCCCTATCTCTCCCTGAAGGAGGTGGGGAGAGGGGAGCTGCTGTGGATGGAAAGGAGAGGGATGGGGAGGTGGAGGGCAAGATGCTGGAGCTGCTGGAAAGCAAGTGCTGACCAGAAGATGCTCATGGTTCTGTTCCCTGGGTACCCAGAGCCTGGGTTTGGTCCTGTGCTCTCAGGAGGGAGACCCAGAGAGGGGGTCTCTAAAGTCCAGTCAGCTATAAATCATACATTCTTTCTTGTTTACTATTTTTTTCTTGAGATAGAATTTCTCTGTGTATTCCGAAGCTGTCCTGGAACTCACTCTGTAGACCAGGCTAGCCCTGAACTCACAGAGATCCACCTGCCTTTGCCTCCAAAGTGCTGGGATCAAAGGTATACGCCACTACTGCCCGGCTCACACACTCTTAAGTCATAGGATCCGCTTTTTGGAGGCAAGTCTGTATTGGTCTCTTGAGGGGGGTTCAGCATGTGCATGTGCCCTGTGTTCAGCACCTCAAAGAAGGTTCTAGAGCTTTCTAAAGATGGTTTAGTGCACAGACGTTTCCACCTTGTAAAATGTGTTGAGGGGGAGTCAATATTATCCTTCCACCAGGTGGGTCTTGGGGATCAAGCTTGGTTATCAAGGTTGGTGGCAAACAATCCCCAACCAACTAAGCAATTTTGCCAGCCCTGTAAAATGCCTTTAGAACCCATGTGAGGTCCAACTCCTTCAGAAACGTGTGTGCAATCACAGGCCTCTCTGGCTTAGCAGATAACTTGTTTACCCTTTGAACTTGACCTGCACAGCCATTCTGAGCCTTGGATGGAAGGTTCTAAGGAAAGAGTGGCTCCCGACTTCCAGTGTGGGTTCCAAAGGCAGAGGAGTGATAATAGGAACCGAGGTTTGCTCAGTGCTCCGAACCTTTCTCGAGACCCTCCCATTTTAAAAATCTGATTTGGTTCAGGAAGGCAAGGTAGATATTACTATCTCTGCTTGATAACAGAATTAGAGGTACAGACCAGTCACAGTGAAGGCCAGACCAGCAGCTCAAACCCATCTCCAAAGGCTGTCAACCACAGCAGGGCCCTCACATGAGCCCCAGTTGTCAAGACATGTTCGATGGTTCCCAAGGGCAGCATGTGACATCAGAGAGGACATTCACTTACTTCCTTTCCTCCTGCACAGAGCTTGGGTGCCTCATCTCCATCAAAGCGCAGCCAAATTTCTACAAGTCAAAGCGAACGAGCAGAGCGTGAAGAACAGATTAGTGGTGGCCACAGGCCCTGGGGCCGTGACTGCTCCTGATGGCACGATGCCAGGGGCGGCCAGGGGCTGAGGTGGGCGGCCAGTGTCCCAGCTGCAGGTTCCATGTATGTGTGGGCATGGCTTGTTACTTAAAGTACAGGTGTGAGCTAGCGCCCCACCCCAGGGTACAACCGACTGTTGTGGCCTTTATTGTCTCCAATAACTGCTCCAAGCTCAGAACTGGAGTACCTTAAACACACAGCTCACTGTGGGGACGTTTAGCCAAGGGACACTGGTAGTCAAAACTTGGTATTGTCCCTTTGCCCAAATTGGATCAAACCAATGTCTTGACTTTGGGGCTTGGGGAGGGAGTTGTGGGGAAGGATCCCAGCGGTGACCATTTCCTGTGGGGACTAGAATCCCATGCTAGGGCAGGGGCATTCCTTCTCACCTCCCCGTTCTCAGGGGGGTCTCCATTGCCAAAGGTGCTGGTGACCACCAAGACCAGGGCTTCGTGCTCCAGGTGCACAATGTCATACTCCTCCATGGACATTGCCTAGGTGTGGGGGGCGTGGGAGAGGAGAGGAGATGTGAGTGGGAACGAGGAGAGGGGGCAGAGGGTACAAAGAGCAAGAGGGTGAGCTATGCTGAGCTGCCTCCTGGCTCAGGACCTGATGTTCTCCATGCTCACTATCTAGTGGACCCTTGTGATAGCACTAGTGATGTTTGCTGGCATGAAATCTTGCAATGGCCGTTGTGTCCTGAAGGGCTATGGGAACCCAGGCTCTGGTCCAATGGAGTAGATCTTTATAACAATCCCTGAACCTTTTTTTCCCTTGCATGCATGCGTGTGTGCGTGTGTGCATGCGTGTGTGATATGAATGTGTGTGAGTTCACATATTTGTGCATGTGCTTGGGAAGGGTCAGAGGTTGACATTGGGTGTCTTTCCACATTGTTCTCCACTTCCTTTTCTGAGCCAGGGTCTCTCAGTTGAGCCCAGAGATCACTGATTGGTCTGTCCTAACAAGCCAGCTTGCTCAGGGGAAATTCCTGTCTCACCTTCCATGCGCTAGGGCTGCAGGCTACCCACCACACACCTGGCATTTTCATTTGGGTGCTTGGCACCTAAACTCCAATGGTCATGATTGGATGGCAAACGCTTTACTGGCTGAGCCATGTGCCCAACCCCATGCCCTCAGATAGTTCGTGATCTTGGAGTCCTGACCATGGTTAGGCAGGGTGTGATCTGGCAGCACCTGAACAGGTTTGCTCAGTCTTTTCTCTAATCCTGCCTCCAGTACCTGGAAGGACCTGAGCCCCCTGAGGCTGAGGTGCATGTTGCAGGGAGAGGACTGTCACCTGCATTTTAGCATTACCTGCACATCTCTCCACCTTTCTAAGGAACCCCACTCTCCCCAGAGGCCCCACAAGAACCAGGGATCTTGTTTGGGTCAGATATGTTTGGGAAATATGTATAGTTCATAATTTCCCCAGTTATAATGGGTGTTCATGGATTCAGAGCTCTGGGAAGTCCTGATCTATGCATGGAGCTGTAACTATTGAGACTTCTCACACTGATCCCTAGCAGGGTGGGCTCTCACCAACCCATTAACACTTTGCTCTAGAGATGAGGGTTTCCTGTGGGCTGGACTCTTGCAGGGTTCATGGGAGACATATCTATGCTTGGTATGTATGCAAATACGCACATTATTTACTGTGAGGGTACAGGGAGCTTCCACTAGCCCTTGCTCACCTTGGCGTCAAAGGCGTGCTTGAAAATCTCACACAGGGTCTTGGCATAGGCTTGTGATTTGCCTGTCTCTGTGGCATAGAGAATCGTTGCTTTGACCCTCTTGGCCATGGCCTGCCCCATCAGCTTGGCCGAGAACTTGACAGCTCTTCGAGGGAGCAGGTGGAGAGAAAAACGGGGAACGGAGAAAGGATACAGGATGTTAGAATGGGACATAGGGACCCCTAGAGACACACAGCATCCCAGAGTTCAGGGACCACATTGACTTATGAATTATTCCCCCAGATCGGAGGTCCAAGCTTGGCAACATGGCTGCTGTTGGATGACTGACAGTTGTTGACTTTATTAAATCATCTTGGTGACATACGCCACCCAAATACTCCAGCTGGACCCTGTGTCAAAGTGGGTGTGTGTATGCGTGTGTGTGAATGTGTGTATGTGTATGTATGTGTGTGTGAGTGCGTGTGCATGTGTATGCATTATGTGTGTGTATATGCGTGTGCATGTATGTGTGCGTATGTATGTGTATGTATGCATGTATGTGTGTGTGTGTGTGTGTGTGTGTGTGTGTGTGTGTAAAATGGTGGTGATAAGATCGAAGTACCCACTACTGTGCTGGCACAGGCTACAGCACCTGCCTAGCTCTGGGCACTCCCTGCTTGTGAACAGATCCATCCATCTCCCACTATAAGGAACTCACTCTGCCAATTTCTTGAAGCCAATGGCTCGCCGCTTCGTGGGGGTCCCATTGGTACCCTTCCACACATGCGTGTTCCATGGGTCAGGCTGGGAAGAGAAGCAACGGCACCAGCATGAGGAAATTTAGTCATCCCACTTGGAGACACCCAGAGCAGCTACGGCTGCCCAACCCTAAGCCCCAGCCAGGGATAGCTACAGATGTCCCTCTCCGCATTGCCCCATGAGCCCTTTCCACTCAGCCCAGGTCCCTCCAGACTCTGTTTGAGATAGGGTCTGGCTATGTAGCCCAGGCTGGCCACAAACTGTCATCCTTCTGCTTCAGCTTCCTGAGCACTAGATTCTAGGTTTCACCCCACCCTGCACTCTGTCCAACCGATCTCTTCCTGGATATGCACGTCCTCTTCCTGTACAGTCATTTCCTGTCTCCATAAGTCTCTCAGGCTACTGGGCGCACCTGTGACCACAGCACTGCCCCTGATAGAGATGGGCTCCCATGGGTTGGGAAAACTTGGCCCCTGGGCAGGGTGGGTCTCAGGGTAGAGGCGAACCCAGAGCAGTGAGGGGCAAGACCTGGTATTCAAAGGAGGGGGTGAGTCGATAGTTGAGCATCTCCTGGTGGAAGACGGGGGTGATGCTGCCCGACATGGGGGGCACAATCCACACCCAGTCGGCAGGGCAGCCCCCTCTGCAGCGGTACTCATTTTCCATGTGTTTGATGAAGGACTCAGTGGCAGAGTGGTGGTCAACGATGGTCACCTTGTCACTCTGTGGGAGGAGAAGGGACAAGGAGTCAGGAATGAAGAGAAGGTGAGATGTTCAGGCACCTTCCCAAAGAATCTGCCAAGGGCAGCCCGTCTAATTGTGCATGACGAAGGTTCTACTTGGTGCTGGTATGCCTCCAAGACCTCCTTGTCAACCTGGTCCATCTTCCCTCCCTCCTTCCTTTAACCAGGGGCGGGAGTTAGACTCTCAGGGCTTTGTTTTGTTTTTCTTATGTCTGTGTACTCATCTCCTGTTTTATTATCCTCTGTAACTATTTATCTAGTGAAATAAAATCTTCTCAACTTAGTTTTAAGGGGCGAGTTTGAGCTGATTAGAGATCAAAGGGATGAGCCAGCACGGAGGTGGGTGGACCAGTGTCTGGCACAGGCTGGGGCTGGCGGGCACGGATTCACAAGTTGTCTAAGAGATACTGCCCTGACTGCATTCCTTCCCTCATCTCTTTTATGTCCCGAGATTCCCCACCGGGGGCTGAGTTCTGATATTTTCCACAGCTTCTTAATTCTCCCTGGGAAGTGGCCTCTTGCCCCCCCCCCCAATGGATCTCTGCACCATGATCCTCTGTGAGGTGTGGTGCCTGCTCTAAACATGTCCACCCAAGGTCTGAATGAACATGCTCGCCCTCTGTCTACTTAGACCGGGGCCACTGGTACCCCCAGGGCAGGGCTGACCTCAAGTTCTAAGAGTGGCCACTGAGATTTCACTTTGTGTCTGTCCAGTTAGAATAATCGACAATGTCCACCTTGTGCTCACAACACAAGCAGCACATTCTGGTGGCATACTTCCCAGCCGTGGAAAACTCCTTGTGCGGGGCAGGAAGTTTTGTGGCCCAGAGTGAAGTTGGGTGTCATCCCTGTGATGAGGATGTCCAAGTCTCTAAGAGATGGCCCAGTCTGGAGACACTGCCGTCAAGCTGCAGAGTCCTTCCCACTTCTCTGTAGCAAATGTCTTCCTCTGTCAAGGGCCATAAGACAGGAAGTAGCCACTGACAGATGGGAGCCCCCTGAAAGTGACTTTTTTTTTGTGATGTATTTAAGCATGTAGGAAGGGGCATGTGTGTACGTGTGTGGAGGTCAGAGGGGAGCTTTGGGTGTCATTTTTCAGATGTCTGTTTGAGGCAGAGTCTCTCGTCTCTCATTGGCCAATCCGGGCTAGTCTGGATAACCAGAGTGAGGAGTCAGGGACCCGCCTGTCTCTGTCTCTGGTTTCAGCATTGCTGGGATTCCGAGTATCCGTCCCCTCCATCTGGCTCTCTATGTGGGTTCTGGGAGTTGACTCTAGGACCTCATGCCTGTGAGGCCAGCGCTTTACTATACTGGCTGGGCCGTGTCTCCGGCTCCCAAAGGTGAATCTTGTTGGCAGAACACTTGACCTCTAGAAAGTCCCTTTTCCTCCTCTCTTTTTTGAGGCTTGAGCTTGGTGCTGAGTGCTAGGATACCTGGAAGCTGTACAGAACAGCAATGTTGATCTCCACCAATGCCTGGTCCTTCCACAGGGAGGACGTCTTCCTCATGTCCAAGTTCATCTTCTTGGCTACTTCCTGGAAGGGTGAGGAAAACAGACTCACAGCCTGGCTAATGCTGGATTCCAAAAACAGCTATTGTGAGGGGAGTTCCTAATTACAGTTAACCCACTCATGGGCTGACTGACTCGTTCACAGGTTCCAGAGATTTGTTATCGACAACCCAGGTGGTAACTAAAGAGACGTGCTTGGCCCTCCAGCCACCAAACTCATGTGCCAGTCAACAGGAGAGACTGTGTTAACGCCTAACGCTTGAGACCCAGAACGCCGGGAGCCAGTTGCTTCCTAAGTCAATGACAACTCTAGCAAAATAACTTGAAAGAAATACGTCCCAGCACTAGCATTTGACATAACAGAAACGAACATCCTGGACACGGTGGCAGAGGCTCGAGGCAGATCCCTTAATTAAAGTCATGCTTTTCCCTCTCTTTGTCAAGGCCAGGCGCTGGTGGGAGCCCAGGTCTCATTACTAGGCTCAGATGCCACCATCCCTCAATTGGGGTAAATTGCTCCTCGGCCCCGGCTGACAGTGTTCCCAGCAGCTGGGATTGAAGGGCTGGGGTGGCAGAGCCTCTCATTTAAGTCATGAGGTGCCCGGGAGAGCAGAAAGCAGACTTATCAATTCACTGTCTGAGGCGAAGCCTTTCGGTTTAGCCTGGATGAGAATCAGGGAATACTTCTGCAGAAAGCCAATGGCTCCTGTTTTATGTACACACATCTAACGTCCTGGTGAGTTTCTGAAACAGGAGGGCACACACACCTGCGCACCGTGCAGCATTACTTTCATTAAAAGCATAAAAATTGTTGAAATATGCCCTTTTTGATTTGAAAAACCAAAACCAAACTTGTAGATGTTACTTGAACTAGGATGTGGACTAATGTGTAATTTTCTTTCTTGCCAGAGTCTTGTACATACCGGTGCTCATCTAGTGGATTCTCCTTGGGAGCTTTAAGAAAACGCTGATACCCAGTCCACACCCCAGGTCAATAGCGCAAGAGTTCTGTGGACTGGGCCTGGCACCATGAAACTCTCTAGGTCCCCACAAGGCTGGTGGCTTCTGACAACTTCTTTCCATAGCGGCACCATGAATGCTGCTTTGTTTTCGTGTTTTTGAGACAGGGTCTCATGTAGCCCAGGCTGGCCTGGTACTTGCCATGTAGCTAAGCACAGCCCTGAACTCCTGATCCTCCAGATTCGACCTCCCAAGTACGGGGCCTCCCAAATATGGGATCTCAGGCGTGGGCTACCATGCCCGCTGACGCAAGAGGGTTTTAACACTATAAACCTAGTGCTCAGCTCTGAGTTCCAACCACGACTCTTCACTGATAGCCTGTGTGATCTGAGCTCAGCCTTGCTTCTCTCCGGAAGCAAGGTCAACAGTTGCAAATTGTTGTTAGGACAATTGCTGATAAATAAAATACAACGAAAAGTACAAGGTAGGACTGGAGCTTTAGTTCAGTGGTAGAGAGCTTGCCTAGCGTGCTCAAGGACCTGGGTTCAACTCCCAGCATCGCAGAAGCAAACAGAAAAACAAAGCCAAACAAACTCAATAAACCAAGAGCCCCAGTGCTTCCGAAACACACGCACCCTGCCTGCATGGCTTCTTCAGCCAGCCCTCTACACCGAACACTGCTCAACAGCATGGTCAGACCACACTGGACTATAAAATATTCAAAAGAATTGCGTCTGTAAAAAAGCTTGTGAAGCCATTTCCCTGTCACCGTTCCTTGATCTGTAGAGTGACAGCCATTTATACAGTACCTACCCTGTGCTTAAAATCATATGTCCAGCTGCAGAATGTTCAACTATACAGAAGGCTCAGTGCAAATACCACAGCATTTTATATATGAGACTCGAGCACCAAGGTGTGTATGTGTGTATGTGTGTGTCTGCATATGTATGGGTACATACATGTGTGTGGGTGCACATGGATGTATGTCCATGTAGAGGCCACAGAGCAGCCTCAGGCACCACCGTTGTTCTTCAAGGGCCATTTATCCTGTCTTCTGAGGCACGCTCTCACAGTGACCTGGAACTTACCACATAGGCTAGGCTATCTGGCCAGTGGGTCCCAGAGACCCATCTGTCTCCACTTCCCTGGTCTCAGGGTTATAGGCACCTGCTACCAAGCCTGGATTTTAAAATGTGAATCTTGGGGATTAAACTCGGTTCTCATGCTTTGGGTGGGAAGCACGTCACCCACTAAGTCATCATCTCTCTGCCCATCTGCAGATGATATTCATAGCTGAAGGGGTCCAGGGAATCCTCTGTGAATGCGTCAAGGGAAGATGTCGTGTGTAAGCCGCATGCAAAGCGTTCACTGTGGTGGTGGCTGTGCCATTTGCTGTGGCAGCCACGGCTAGGAAAGACGTAAGTACTGTGGCATTTCTAGAAGAGCCACCAGGACTATAGTTCTGTCCCAGCTCGATCCAGTCTCCCAGCCCCAAAGCTGCTGAGCAGTAACCACTGTTCCCGCATCGAGGGACCTCACCTCCAGGATGTTGTATCGAGAGTTGTCACAGTAGTCACGGACGCCGATCTCTGTGCCCATGTACCAGCCGCTGAAGGGACAGGCGCTAAACTCCAGACCCCCAATCTCCAGCAGCATGTTGGACACAGCAGGGAGGCCATACCATTTGAGCCCCAGGTCTTTAAACCAGTCAAACCTGCAGAGAGCAAAAGGCCCCCCTGCTTAGCATGCAGCAGTGTCTCCTGAGCACAGACAGGGGTGCAGCAGCCTCAGGTTGGGGATAATCCAGGCTCAGTACCCTCTAGGATCATGCATAAAACCTGATTATTGACAGTTCCTTCTCCCCAAAACTTCCTCTTTCCTGTGCCTTCACCTTTAAAATCTATGTTTGATTCTAAGTTTAATATTTCTCGCGCTGGGAAACCTTCCCAATGTCCAGCTGGGTTCAGGTGACCTCACACGTCTCCTTTGCCGTTCTTTTTACAGAACTGAGTATTCCAGGAGCTGTTTCTTTGTGGCCCTCTCCTCTTTGACACAAACTATAGAGGCAGAGACACAGCCCTAAACTAGAGCCACGCTGGATGGAATGAGGACTGCAAAGTGGGTTGAACGGGCCCAGAAATGAACGTAAGCCAAGTGCATCTAGGCATCTGGCTGTGCTTCAATGTATCAGGTTCCCCAGGACGGGTGTTCCCTGTCCACGGAAGATCCAGGCCAGGCAGGTGGGGTACCAGTGCCAGGTGTAAGAGGGCAGGTCCTCCAGAGACTTAGTCAACAAGAACAGCATTGTTATTTGTGCATGGGGAATTTTAAATGAATCCACACTTAAAAAAAAAATAAACAAAAAGCTCTCCTTAAATAGACAGGCTCCCTCTTGGTGACTCACCAGGTCATCACACCTTCATGTCAGGGCTGAGCTGAAGCCTGTTTTTATTTTAAAAGTTGAGATGTAGTTCCCCATAAATTAAAAATAATGAACTTGCTTTTTAAGATCTATCTTGCACATTACTTAAGTTTCTTAGCAACCTCCCTTGGGCTTGGCCCCAGTCTGGCACCTCATGGTGGCTTTCCTTCATTTTATAATGACATTTATTCGTTGGTGTGTGCGCCGTATGCGTGCGTGTAGGCGCGTGTTCTAGAGGACAGCTTACAGGAGTCAGGTCTGTCCTCCACTGTATGGGCTCTGGGATCAAACTAAAGAAGTCAGGCTGGATGGCAAGCTCCTTTACCGACTGAATCATCTCACCAACCTAACCCGTCCTTTACTCTTAAATTGCGCATGCTACCTGCTTCTCTGACCTTGGTCTCCTCCCTGAACTTAGTTCACTCAGGGTTAGTAACTGGATGTAGCTTCTTCAAGTGAACGCCTGTATCTAAGACAGAAGGTGTGACTACTCTTGTTACCCCAAGGGCTGGGCAAAGGGCAGGTCACGGAGTAGAAGCATCCAATGGCTCAGGCTGGTTCAGAAGGACCCCTTGTGTCCCTACCCGATAGCCAGGATGGGACCCAGGACCCTCTTTCTTTTATTGGGGCTGGGGGAGAACCTGGGGTGGAGGTGGGGCAGGGGATGGACAGAGGAGGTCATCGGAGAACCACCCCACCCCCCGGGCAGTTCCTCTTACTTGGGGTGCCTGATGGGCACTTCCAGCACCAGCTCTGGGGGGATCTGGAAGAGCTCAGGGTCATTGCCATTGGCCTGGAGCAGGAGTGGCAGGACATCGAAGCGGCCTCTCGGGGCTTTCCAGCCCTGCTGAATACAGATCTACAAACAGAGTCCCTGGTCACACCTCTGCCCCTGCCCCTCCCAACACAGCAGGCACAGGGCTGAGGCAAGCTCTGCAGGGTCTCTCAGTTATGAGAGGTGCTTAAGAAAACAAAACCAAACCCAAGTCAAAGCCTCCTTTACAAGCTCAGTCTGACCTCATCACAGAACAAGGGCAACTTCTCCCCAGGAACACAGGTCAGTGTTTTCCAGAAAGGGTCTCCCACGCCGGCTGGGCTGTGCACACTGAGGGGGTGAGGGCTGAGTCTGACTAACCCTGGCATTTCCCACGGGCTAGCTTTTATGCGTGATGTTAAGTGCTGCAAGATACAAAGAAAACCTCCGGTGCTGTGGCTCACCGCAGAAAACACACGCACAGCGCACAGCGAGACACGGGCACAGCGAGACACGGGAGTTACAGTGTTCTGGAAGCTCGTTAAGAAGAAAAACCCAAGAAGTGAGGCTCATTGCATTAGCATACTCATTTTAAACGGTGAATTTTAGCTCCAACAATGTACCTCATATGAATAGTAATTCATTAATAATGGATTAAGATTTTTTTAAATTTATTTATTATGCATACAATATTCTGTCTGTGTGCATGTCTGCAGGCCAGAAGAGGGCACCAGACCTCTTTACAGATGGTTGTGAGCCACCATGTGGGTGCTGGGAATTGAACTCAGGACCTTTGGAAGAACAGGCAATGCTCTTAACCACTGAGCCATCTCTCCAGCCCATGGATTAAGATTTTTAATGAGACATTTGACACTAAAATTAAATGACATATGTTCATTTACTGAATATATTAAGTCTATGTTTACAGAATATAATAAAGTACATTAAGTATCAATATTAGTTTACTAATTATATACATTTTTATCATTTGATTTTTATTTTAAGTTTTTCTCTCTCCGTGGTGTGTGTATATTGTGCATATGTTTATGTGTGTAAGCTCTCAACCTTATTTTGAGAGGGTCTTTTTAAAAAAAATGTTATTATTATTTCATCTTATATGTGTAGGTGTTTTGCTTGGGTGTATGTCTGTGTTCCAGGTACATTCCTGCCGCCTTTGGAGGCCAGGAAAGGGTATTAGGTTTCCTTGGATTGGAGTTATAGACAGTTGTAAGCCACCATGTGGGTGCTGGGAATTGAATCAGGGTTCTATGGAAGAGCCACTGTTAACCAAAGAGCCTTCTCTCCAGCCTTGAGGGTCTCACTATATAGCCCTGACTGTCCTAGAACTCACTCTGTAGACTGGGCTGGCTTTGAACCCAGAGATCTGCCTGCCTCTGCCTCCTGAGTGCTGAGACTGAGCCACCACTAGACATGGCCGCTGACTACACAGCAGCCAACCAGCAGGACCCTCCTGTCCCCAGCCCCTCTGTGCTGGCATTACAGGCACGTGTCACTGGGTCCAGCTTTTATGTGGGCGCGGGGATCCAAGCCTGTGCAGCAAGCCCTTCACCTACTGAGCCACCTCATCAGCCCTGCTTTTGTTTAGAGACAGAGTCTCACTATGTAGCTCAGGCTGGCCTCAAACTCACAACCCTTCCACTTCAGTATCTGGAGTGCTGGAAGTACAGCTGTCACTACCAGGATGCACAAAGAATGGCAAAATTGTTAAAGTGAGTATTTTTAAATACGATATTTAGCAGTATTTAATAAATATATTTAATTGATTAAGTTTTCTAATTTATCCATATGCTAATTTTCTCTACCCTGCTACTATAATTTCAAAAATATCCTCAATATAAGACGATTAGTGAGTCATTTCCCTGGTTTTTTGGAGGGGTCATTTTGGAGATCTCTTGGTTGGGGCCAGCTATGTAGCATGCACAGGCCACCATCAGGGACATGAAGGACTCCATGTAACAATGTGGCCAGGTTCGGGATGTCCCTGTGTGGGGTGTGAGTGGAAACAGAAGTTTACATCTTGGCTTCAGGAGGACACATTCTGGCAAGGGATGGTTCTGGACACAGATAAGAAAGAAGATTGGGACACACGATCCTGTTCAGCTAAGCAGGAGCCAAGGTCAGCCAAGTACACCCTCGGCAGTTAGCGCTCAGCCAAGTAGAACGGAGTCTGGGGAGTCTGGCCCAGGCTCCGAGTGCACAGGTGCGGCTCCTGGTTGCCCTGGTTACAACCAGTTCTCAGGATGATCACATTTCAATGAGAAAAGCTTTATGCATATGAAGTCAGCACACAGGGGTGGGGAGAAAAGCAGGGTGTGTGGGGGTTGAGAAAAGGGGGATGGGCATTGGCATCTGTCTGCTGTGTATCCCAGGGGGCACAGTCTATTCGACTCTGAACTGCACGTCACTCACTATGGCCACAGGGAAGGGTCCCTGGGAAGGGAGATGGGCAGTCTTGGTTCTCTTGGTAGTTTTTGTCAACTTTGGTCCCCAGCATTGTGGTATACATTGACCCTGGGAGAGTCAAGCCCACTCCAGGAAGGATTGACAACTCTTTTTTTTTTCCTTCTAGACAGGGTTTCTTTGTTTAACTTACTCTGTAAACCAGGCTGGCCTTGTACTCACAGAGATCCCCCTGCCTCCGCCTCCCAAGTGCTGGGTTTAAAGGCGTGTGCCACCACCACCTGGCTCAAACTATTGATTAACACACGAAGGAGCCATATATGTCAGTTCAGGAAGGTGGCCAGGGACATGGATTCTCTGGACCACATCTCTCCTGGTGGGAGGGTGGGAAACCTAGGGTTCTAGACATTCCTTCATTCATTTAACAGTTCAGGATAAGATCCTTGGCACTGGCAGGAATCGGTCTATTCAACTCTGAAAGGGGACAGAGCTCCCATTGGAAGGGTTGTACCATGAAAATGGCCAAATGACTTCAATGGCACCGGAAGGATGAGGTTGAGGGGGGTTCTGTGCTCCTTGCTGGCCGACCCCTCTGGGATAAGATTGTCAATGTGGAAAAAGCACAGGGGAACTGAGAGTCCCACCAGGGATGGGCTTGGCGCGTCTGAGCTCACCTCTGTAAACTGCACATTCGCAGGGTCCCCCAAGGTAGAGCCATCTGGTTGCTTGTAGCCGGCATAGCGGATGAGCTGTGAGTTCCACACTCGGAAGTCATGCTTGCCGTCTGTCCTCTGGGGGAATATAGTGATGGCTGACCTTGGGAGAGAGAAGAGGGCATGAGTCAGCAGGATGGCCTTTGCCCTTTGGGGATGAGCTTTGTTCAGGTCCCCAGCTGTGCCAAGGGGTTGAGTGACCAGCTCCTGCAACAAAACCCACGGTCTGTGCAAGGTGGAAGGCAGGAAACGCACATCCTGGCCTTGAAGTTGTGATCCTCTTGCCTCAGCTTCCCGAGGGCTGGATCGAGAGATGTGTGCCACACACACTGCAGGGCATAAGCCCTCCTGTCTGAACATCATGGTCCACCCTTCGTCTGAAATCCTCTCTGCCGTCACAAACCCACACCCAAGGCTGCACTAGACTCTATTTCCATAAGTGGCTTCTGGGACGGAGTTCAAGGGACCCTGCTTCTAAGCACATTTTGCAGGTCTTACTCTTCAGACAAGGGAATGCAGCATTTGCTACCCAGGTCGTCATGTCACTGATGCAGGAGGATGAGAGGACAGAGTCTGGGTGATTCATGGATCCAAAGCTGGTGTTCACATCTCTTAGTGAAAATCTCCGCCACACATGGGAGACAAGCAAGCCGCCTTCCCTCTGACACTAAGACACATGGCTATGTCTACAGGGGGCCACCAGCCGGAGCCTGTTTGTGTGCACGTATGTTTATAAACGGCCGAGGCACACGGTGTGAGGAGGGTGTGATAATTACTTTCCATGTGGGAGCCGAGATGGAGGGAGATGGGCAGCGTGGCCACACCTCCTGTCTGCTTGACTGGAGCTACCTGAGGGCAGTTTGAAGGCACCAACTCTTTCCGCTCATGCCGGACATCCTTCTACATCTGTCTCATAGCTTTTAGACCCACGATTTGAATCTTAAGAAAACGATCCTAAGTGTGATTATTTTAATTCACACTCAATGAAGTCCCTCTCCCCAAAGTAGATCACTGAACACAGCAGAGATGTATTGTCGAGCGTGGGGTGACCCCTCCTCTCACTGGCGCACAGTGTCCTTCGGAAGTCACCAGGATAGCCCCTAAGCAACTTGAGGGCTTAGCCTTGGCAAGACCTGCCATCATTCAGGGTTCAGAATATCAGAATATGCTGGAAGGTTCTCTCTCTCTCTCTCTCTCTCTCTCTCTCTCTCTCTCTCTCTGTGTGTGTGTGTGTGTGTGTGTGTGTGTATAGGTGGCCAGAGGCCCATCCTGCTTTTGGAGACAAGGTCCCTCAACTGCCGTGAAGCTCACTGGCTTGCTAGGCTGTCTGGCAGCAGGTTGTAGGAATTCCCCATCTTTACTTCCTCAGCACTGGAATTGTAAGCACATGCCGCTACACCGGCCTTTTTAAAGCACGGGTCCTGGATTTGAACTCAGACCCCTAATCTGGTACAACACATGCCTCACCAACTGAACATCCTCTCTAGCTACTTGCTGGGAAGTTCTTTTGACATTTTTCTCAGGGTGATGTTACTTAGCAAAGAGTCTTAAATATGAATTCCTCTCATACATATTGTTTCTGTCTCAAGCGGTGGCTCAGGCGGCAAGGAAGTCCATTCCTGAGGCAGACAAGCCCCCTCTGTATGAGCTCAGGGCAGGCTGGGGTTTGTGGGAATATCCGTGAGAGAGCCTTGGGTGTTTCTGAGGCGGGATTGGTTCTCAGCAGTGGGGGAACAGATGTCACCAACAGGATTGACAAGTGCAGCCAGCTGTGGATGGGGCCTCATCTGTGAGGAAGGAGCTGAGGCCAGGGTGGAAATCATGGACCACGGCACCTCCCTGGCTCAGCTGGCTCGTGTAGATTATGTTCTTTGTATGGGTCCAGGAGTCCAAGGCGGGGCTAACTGGGGCAGAATGGGAAGGCACAGAGTCCTGTGGATGGGAGGCGGCCACAGGCGGAGCAGGTTGGGATGCCGTGAGAGCCGGCTTTACTTGGAAAGGGGAGCTTATCTATTTACTTTTTCTTTCTAGGAATTCTAACTAGTTTCCTGACCTCTCTGTGGGTGGCAGGGAAGGACAGTCCAGTGGGACTCTCAGTTTTGTTGTTCTCTCCAGCAGAGGAGGGGCAGGGGAGAAGAATACCAGGGTATTTCTGCCAGCTGGAGGGCACAGCCTTTCCTCCTGGCAGCTCAGCCACATCCAGAACTAGGACTCCGCCCGGCAGGGTCATCACCTGCTTCATCCCACCCCGACGACTCACCTGAGGTTCCCCTTGTTGGTGGCATACTTGACGTGGTTACAGATGTAGTTGAACATGCCATGGGCCGTGGTGCAGTCTCTGGCATCGAACACCTGTGGAAAGTACATGGTGGGACTGCTGGCTGCCTCCCCTCTCCCTGGCAGGTCCAGGGCAGACTTCCTTTCCAGGGGACCTGAACTCACTGCCGCTGCCCCCGCTCTTGGATAGCCAGCCCCTCTACTTTTGAGGTCCAGGCTGTATAATTTTGTATTGCCATTTGCTTTTCTATGCCAATAACTGAGGAAGTGTCCCCAAAAGTATGTGTGGAGGTCACATGACTAGGTGGTGAAGAACGGAGCAAGCTGTCTGGGGCTGGTTGTATTTCCTGTGGGCTCACCAGGAGTTTAAAAACTAGAAAAAAAAATCAAATAATCTAGAGCTGAGGGTGGAGGTGGGAGCTCACGAGACCCTGCTCTGCCCTGAGGAGCTGCTAGGAATTGATGGTTTCTCACTTCTTCTGGTGACGTAGTACCAGAAAGCTGGCCCCGCCTTAGTGAGAAACCCCACACCCCAGCTCATGCCAGAAGCCCAAATCAAATCAGTGGGGTCACAGAACATAAAAATAAAATATGGAAGTAGAAGAGGACAGCTGGGAACAGGAAGATAGCAAGAGAAGGTAGTGGGTAATGAACACGGTCGAAATTCGTTATGTAAGTGAATGCCGTAAGGAAGCCGTCAGTATGCACCATACAAGCTAGCACAGTCCTTCGAACAGAAAGATTGATCCGACAAACCAATCTACTTGTAACATTAAGCTGCTCTCTAGGACAGACTCAAACTAGGGGTGAGGAAGTGAACACCTTCAGGCAGGTGCAAGATAAAGGGAGTGTTGGGTCTTCAGGAAAAGAGACAGCAGAAGGGAGTGGTGAGGACTTCGGCAAACAGGACAGCCTGAGTTCTCCCAGGAGGCATGGGCATGGCAAGTTCCTCCAGTAAAGAACAGTGTTCTGATGGGTCTCCACTAGACTGGATCTCTTTTGCAGATCCATCTGCCCCCTTGGCTCGTTCCCTTCCAGAGGGTCTTCCAGGCATCCGAGTGTCACCACCTACCTGCAGCTTGGACCACTGGATCCTGCCCACACATCGAGAGGCATTCCGCCAGGCATGCTTGGCTCCGTAGATGAGCTCGGTGTCCTTGAGCTGGTAGGTGCTGGTGTTTTCGATCTCCTTGTTCACCTCCTCCAGCCTGTCCATGTGCGCCTTGGAGCCAAACCTGAGGGAGCAGGGACAGGGCAGGGAGAGGGCCACAGTGTGATGGCTTGGACGTGTTCTCTCTCTCTCTCTCTCTCTCTCTCTCTCTCTCTCTCTCTCTCTGTGTGTGTGTGTGTGTGTGTGTTAAACACTCGAATCTCTGTGCTACTAACAGGTGAAAGAGCCTTTATGCCTTTATGAGGTGGTGAAGAGTAAATTCTCAATCTCTCTCCTTCTTACTTTTTGAGGCATGGAACCTGGAGCTCAACGATTTTCACCGATTTTGCAAGGCTGGCAATCCAGTGAGCTCCAGGACTGTCTGTCCCCATTCCAATATGCTCTGTGTTCACAGAGTGCCGGGGAACCAAACTCAGGTCCTCACACTTAAACAAGGAGCATTTCCCCTACTGGTCCAACTGCCTAGGCCTCTGTACTTGCCTTTTAATGGATGAGTAGTATTGGTCGAGAAATTCTTTGGCTAGCGGGAAGAGCTGGTCCTTTGTGCGGACATCTTCTGGCTTCCGAGTGTGCTGGGACGGCAGCATGACAGAGCCCATGCAGATGTGCTCTGTGCACCCCGTTTCCTGGGAGCCAAGAGGGAGGTGAGTGAGTGTCTGGCTTCTCGCCACCATAGTTGGCAAGCATCATGACTGAGGACCAGGACCCGGGACTCACAGTCAGTCTGACTCTTCCATCCCAAAGGGATCTCCCAAGCCAGCTTCAAATTATTGCTGGACATGATTGGTCAAAGCCCCCAAGGAGCAGTGGTCTTGTTTTAAGCTGCCCAAAGTGTTTGCACTGGTCAGTTAGGGAAGGGGCTCTGCTACTGGGACCCACAGCTACTGGTGCAACAACCTAGTGTCTATGTGCCTCGACATCTCTACCTGTATCCTCTGTCAATCATCTACCCATCTATCACCTATCTACCTATCATTATCTATCTATCTATCTATCTATCTATCTATCTATCTATCTATCTATCATCTATCTATCTATCTATCTACTATCTATCTTCTATATTTTGGGTTTTGAGACAGCATCTCATACAGCCCAGGCTGGTTGGTCTTGAACTCACTATGCACCTGAGGTTGGCCTTAAGTTTTCAACTTTCTGCCTTCACCTCTCAAGTGCTAAAAGTACAGGTGTGTGCCACTGCACCCATTTCCAGAAAATCTTTTTTATTCAATTTGATCAAAGAGAACTAATAATGACATTGTTATTGTCAGCACCATCTCATCATTGTTGTCACAGATATTATTATCATTATTTTTATTATTACTGAGACGGGGTCTTTATATGTCTGAGGCCAAAGATGACCTTTGAATTCTGAGCTGCTGCCCCTACCTCCTGAGTGTAGAGTCTATAGTCACACACCATCACACCACCTGTGCTCTGGTGCTTAAACCCAGAGCATTATACAGTCTTCTAGGGTGACCGAAGGTGCGTGAGATAGACCCTGTCAAAACTAGCCACTTCCTGGTCAGGTCTGCAGAGCCATCTGGCCACACTGTGCATTTACAAAAAGCAACACATAGCAGTTGTTTTCAGCTACTGAGTTTGAGGCCTGCTTGTTATGTGGCACTAGCCAACAGATACAATACTCCTTCAAGAGACTCTTTTTTTTTTTTTAAACAAAAATGGAAGGTAATGGGTTGGAGTGTTGAGCATTAAGAATGTGGTGGAGGACAGAGGCCACAGTGGGAAGCAAGGAAAGGTTGGTTCAGTGCCCATCTATGATCACACTGTCAGAGGTGAAGGACGTGCGAGGACCCTTACCTTCTGCTGGGAGCAAGGTGCTCACACAGAAAAACCCCATCAGTAGAGCACTCAGGGAGGCATGAGGCCATGCCTGCAGAGCCCCTGGCTGTCACTATGTGGGTGGGGATTCTGGCCTCTGATGGGGTGGGCTGCAGGTGGTGTTGATGGTCATTCATATGACCCCCCACAGATGCCCCTACCCCTCCTCCCAACACTCACCAATGTACTCTTGAGGTGCAGAGTGTCAGTGAGGACCACATCTGTCTCCCAGTTCTTGACCTTGAGGAAGCGGGGGCACCTGGAAGGGCTGCCATTCTTGGTGGGGGACTGCTTTCCCGAGGTGGGGGGCTGTGAATGAGAAGGAAAGTGACACACAAGACAGGACCAGAGGGGCCGCAATGTCTCGTCTGGGACTTATAGGTTTTGCTCTTTTTAGGACACCCACCGCCTTCACAGAGAGAAGCCCCCCCCCCCCCCCCAGTGGCAGGTGTGAGATTCCCAGAAACCAACAGCTTTGCCTATGCAAAAGACACATCATGGCATGGGAAAAAGCTATGGATTCAGTCCTGGGGTAGAAGGCAAGAGGTCACAGGTGATTGCTTCAGTGTCTGCCACAGAGTCAAGAGTATCTAGAATAGACTCTATGTTCTATTATTATTATTTATTTATTTTAATATTTATTTATTTATTATGTATACAATATTCTGTCTGTATGTATGCCTGCAGGCCAGAAGAGGGCACCAGACCTCATCACAGATGGTTGTGAGCCACCATGTGGTTGCTGGGAATTGAACTCAGGACCTTTGGAAGAGCAGTCATGCTCTTAACCTCTGAGCCATCTCTCCAGCCCTAGACCCTATGTTCTAATATCTAGAATGCCTCCGAGAGACCTGGTGAACGTTTGTGGAATGAATAAATGACTGAGAGGACCTTTGAATGGTTACAGTCCTTAGAGTTGTAGAAACTGGGTCATTTGTTTGGTGGGGACACCCCACGTGAAAGACAAGCTGGAGAGGGAGCGAGTCTGAGCTGTGTGACTCACTCAAGTGCAAGTTCTAACTCACAAGCTCTCATGGCCCCCGTTTCATCCTAACTCAGAACTCACGGCCAAACAGGAGAGAAAGAATAAGCAGGCACAAAAATGGTAGCGTTGCGGTGGGATGAGAACATAAAGGAAGGGAGAAGATGGAGAGAGGTGAGTGCAAGGGCCTGTGGTCAGGGTGAACTTGCTGAGTTAAAGGACCAGGGGCTTGGGGTGCTGGTTCAGCTGCTTCACCAGGAACATAGACCTAAGTTTGATTCCTGGAACCCGTGTGAAAAACCCAGGCATGGTGATGTGAAGGGGAGAAGAGGGATGGGGAGGTTAAAGGTCAAGCCCATGGCTCACAAGCTTGGAAGCACTGAAGCAGGAGGACAGCTATGAGTTATATGATGAAGTTGACAGCCTGAGTCTTTGAAGACCAGCTCTGCTTTCCTCCCTCAGAACTGGGTGTCGCTCAACGAGTCTAGTGTCACTCTGGGCTGCTTGCATTGGAGCCATGGAGACTGAGTGACAGCAGGAATCCAAGAGGGAGCCATGGACACAGTGTTTCCATCGTGATTGGAGGGCAGAGGTTTGGACAGTGGCGGGAATGAGGATAAGGTGTAAGGTGTGGCTGGCCAATGGCCGTTAGCCCTTGCTGCCAGGCAGCAGAGAAACAAGATAACGGACCAATGGGAGCTCCTGGGTAGCACACCAGAAGCCTTGCTGGGCCTGCTGCACCTGGCTTTGATGTTTTAATTAGCCTTCAGTGACACTGGATGACAGGGAGGGGATAAATGAGGAGATGGAGTGTAGGAGACAGGGGCCCTGCATACAGGACACAAATGGCTTTCTGAGTAGGAACCAAAGTCTCTGCTCAAAATGCCTATCAGCACGTTCAGAGCCGCGAGGCTGGGGTGGGCACGTGTAGACTGAGGTGGCAGCCACCCCTGTCCATTCCTTTCCCAGCTTCATGTCTGCTGTAGGAGGATGGAAGTGTCCCGGTGGGGGGACACCTGCTCTACCTGGATGCCCACAGACTCACTCCGCTGAGGGCTTCGTAGAAGCCCAAGAGAAGCACCTAGGCACTCAGGTCAGTGGAGGCTGAGGGCCCCCCCACAGGTGACAGTGCTAACCCCTTCACTGGGGAGCAGGAACGGCTCACTGACTATCTTGAGGCAGGGGTCTGGGCTCTGTAGCCTGTGGGCTCAGCCAATTCATGTTTGTGTTTCTGGAGAGCCCTTTTCCCCATTTTTACACGGTTTAGTATAACAACCCAAATAGAATAATATTTTGTGTTTCATGGAACAATAGAAAGCTCAGGTTTCAGGGGTGAGGTTTTCATGGATCACCCTGTTGCCCGTTTCTTTTGCAAGGCGCTGGGACTGAACCCAGGCCTTCATACACACATAGGCAAGTGTTCCCCACTGAGCTCCATCCCCAACCTTTGAAGCAATTCTGTTAACTTTTCCAGGCAGGCTTTGCACTTACTGCGTAGCCCAGGCTGATCCCGAACTTGTTATCCTGCCTCAGCCTCCTGAGTAGCTGGAGTCATGGGCCTCTGCCATCAGGCCTGACCCATTCAGGGCTTCTTGTACATGGCAGTGTCATTGCATTATATATAATAATGACAGAAACAGAGACTGGAGAGTTCCCAACGATGTCTCCAATTTTGCCACTGGCCTATTTTGCTCAAATGCCATTGGGGTGGAGGTCTTTCCAGAATTTCTAGGAAATATCCCTGTGTGCCCTGCTCTCCAGTGACCCTTACCACCTGTTAAACATCTGTAGAACACTTATCATAGCCTGAGGGGGTCTTTTGTGCCTCTGTACGTGTGCATGTGCCTGTGTGCATGTGCGTGCACGTGTGTGTGCATGCGTGTATGTGTGTGTAGGGCAGAAGACAACCTTGGGTGTTATCTCAGGCACCATCCCCCTTATTGCGAGACAGGATCTTCTATTGGTCAGTAGCCAACAAGCAGTTCGCTAGCCAGCCAGCGAGTCCCACAGGTCCACCCCTCTCCAGTTCTCCAAGTGTAAGCCGCAAGTCCAAGATACAGGCACCATATCTGACTTTCTTGTTTATTTGCTCTTAGCATCCTTGAAACTGTCAAGTGACCTAAATGCATAGCCAAGGACTCTGGTCAAGTCTTGATTTGGAGGGGGGCAGTGAACCATGAAGCTGCTGAGCTTGAGCGAGTTGCTTGATGGAAGCCAGGGGCTATTAACAGAGGTGCCTAGACTTTTCACGGGGTCACAACCTGACAGACCTATTGTAAAGTGAAAGTATCCTAAGAAGAAAACTCAGATGATACCTAACCTGTGGGGCACCCCCGGCTCAGTAGCCGAAGCTCACTGTGGAGTGCTGGGTGCTTCTCTGTGATTTCTCACTGAGAGGGAGCTACAACGATTGGGCTGTATATTCCCGCAAAACCTCAAGTACAATTTCTACAGAATAAATATTGCTTTCTCACCACCGCGAAACTGAAATGCTAAGGATTTCAAGGATCGTGGGAGGGAGGAAGGGAAGGCTGAGAGCCTTGGAGATGCTGTCTCAACAGTGTGGTGGGGGCCCAGCTGGAGAGTAGAACTGGACGTGGGACTGGAAGAGGGAACTGGGCTGAAAACGGTGTACAGGACGGGCAGCTGAGAGTCTGGGGTGTGAGAAGTCAGCCTGGTGGCTTCCTGTTAGGGTCATAGATGTCCTGAAAACTTGACAACACTACCAGACTCTGAGAAGCATGGGGGAGAATGTGGGGGCTAAAGGGAGGAAGTGTTTGAAGCAAGAACCTCAATATGACAGGCAGGAAGATGTCAGAGCAGGGTCAGGGACCTGTGTGTTCCCAATAGACTTGTCCCGTCAAATCCTTATATCGACGTCCCAAAGCCCAGTTCGTCTGAATGTGACTGTGGTGGCTAATGTTGGCTGTCATTTCAGAGGATCTAGAATCACCATGGAGACAGGCTCCTGGGCATGTCAGTAGGAGAGTTCCCAGATTAAGTTAGTTGAGGTGGGAAGACTCAACCCCAACTGTGAGTGGCATTGTCATATGACCTGGGGTCTTGGAACTGAATACAGAGAAGTGAGCTGAGCCCCAGCACTCCTTTCCCCTCTCCCCTCAGACTGTCAGCCAGAAAGAACCCTCCTTCCATATGTTGCTTTTGCTGGGTAGTTTGTCACAGTAATCAGAAAAGGAATGATACAATGCCCCAACTGAAAACAGGGTAACAAGTTACAATGTAGTCACAACGTAGTCCTTGATTCAACATGGCTGACATTATGTAGAAAAGGGGAATTCAGGGGCAGACACTCCCCCACCCAAAGAGGAAAGTCTTGCGATCATGAAGGCTCTTGTGACTTTCAGTTCTCTGTGTCTTAATGGTGACACAAAGCACCAGGTTGTCAGGACTGGATTATGCAGCCCGGATGAGTGAGCCCTGGAGCTGAGCCCAAGCTTGCACAGTCAGCCAGCATCTATCTCCCTTCTTCCCTGTTGGCACCAGCCATGGCTGCTCTGTGACAGCCCTGTGTCAACCTGCCTCTTCTGGACTTGTCCTGAAATGAGGACAGCAAGCCGGGGCCAAGCTGGGCAGCAGGCCATCACACCACAGGGGCTAGACGCCGCCTCCTGGGATCTTCCTGCAACCCTAGGCAACACCTGCCCCAACCTGTGGGGACTTCTTCTTCAAGAGAGCCAGCCTAAGCCAGTTATGGTCCCTGGTAGTGAAGCATCCATGCCATAAGCAAATTGTTTGGAGGAGGGAGCCAACTGTGCTTAGGACCTGGGGAATGATTTCTGTGGGTTATGTGCAAAGCATTGTGTTCAAAGTGACCCAGTCCCTACAGTGACCCTATGATACTGGCAACCACTCGCTTTAATTTCCTCTCACCATCGTAGTGTTCTAGTCCATGGGGGTGGGGAAGAGGAGGAGTTCTGGGAAGCAGACCTGTTCTAGTGTGAGAGAGGAGGTGGTTCAGACCCCTGAGTTTAGAGAGGCCCTTAAACTACAATGTGAGCGGGGGAGGGATGCTTAGCTCAGTTTCTAGAGAGCGAGCTGTGCAAGCCCGAGGACCTGAGTTCAGATCCCCAGCACCCATGGAAGAAGTCAGCTGTCACAAATTTGTGCTTGAAACCCTAGCATTGGGACAGAGGACAAGGGATCTCTGGGGCACTCCGGCCAGTTGGTCCAATCACAACAGGCTTAGTGAGACACCTCGGCTCAGAAGAGCAAGGGGAGCCACCTACTGGGGCATGATCCATGTACTGCAGACTACTAACTGGATCAGTGGGCTATAAAAATATAAAACCACGAAAGGGCATGAAAT